ACACAGATACACAGATGCCGAGATGCAGAGATGCAAATACGCCTGGGGGAAAGTCAAACTCATTTGGCCCCTTGCAGAGTGGAGCGATTGGAGAGTGAAGTGAAGCGAGCCAACAGCTGATAATTGTGGTGCGCCAATAAAAACCAAATTAACCTAATTGCAAAATTTTGCAAAACTCCCAAAGCCAACGAGAACAAGAACAATCAAAAGCAACATCAGCAGAGAAGCAGAAAGAAGATGGCCAGAAAATGGCATAATAAAACCGAAAAGAACAATGAAAGTGGAGCAAGCGAAATGTTACTCTGCCTCCTTGGCCTTCCTTCCATCTTCAGCTTCTCCTTCCCCGTCTTGGGGTAGGACACATGTTGCCAAAAACTTTTGCTTCGATTTGCCTCCACACACAGAGTTTTGCTCTCTGGTCTGTGCTGCATTGCTAACAGAGTACAGCGCAAGTGAAATGTAATTACATCCCAGAAATTGATAACACACACACACAAAAATGGCCAAGAAAATGTGCAGGATTATGTCGACTATGAGTACGTTGTGGGCCCTCTGCCAGCGAATGTAATTAAAGCCTTGACTTGGGCATGGGCGGGGGCTACCATGAACAACGAATTTGGTGACTTAAGATGGGATCTGCCCTGCCATTGAACTAGGTCAGCCACATGGCTGTAATTATGCTAATTAATAGGCCAAAGGCTTTACTTTCAAATTTCCAAATCCCGCCTCTGTCTCTCTGACTATCTGCTGTGCTCAACTTCAAGTGCTAAACCTTGTGAAAACTACTTGGCAATGCAAAGTCAAAAATAAGAGAAAACTGCAAGACTGCAGGCTGCATTTATTTTTGGGATTTATTTTAAGAAAAATAAACTGAACTCTAGCAACTCTTATATCCATCTGGAATGTAGCAATAAAATGCATTCACTTATATCCTCGCCATATTCGTGGCATTTATTCTTACTATTTGCACGCATAATGTTGTAAATCTCCGAAATTCCTTGGCAATTTCAAGCAAATGAAGCAATTAAGTCGTGTGCAATTTCTGCACCGCTCAGTCGCTTTATAGGAATTATAATAGCTAATGCATGAAGCGCATATGCATGGCTGAATACACAACAAGCTTATGTGTAATTATTCCTAAGCGAGCTATTGAAATGAGGGCTTTAGCCGTACGGAACACACCCCTGCGAGGCCCCTGGCATGGCATGAAAAACAATGGGCCTCTGTTGGCCCTGAAAGTGGAAATAAAAAAAGGAAAATTATAAATATATATGTGTGTGTGTGTGTGTGTGTGTTTGGATATCAAATATTTAAAACGCAACGTTCCGAGCAAGAGCGGACATGAGCGGCGATGTAATAAAGTTACGCCTTCCTGCCTGCCTCGTTGCCTGGGGGTCTCTCCCGGGGTGCAACGTCCCTGTCTCTCAACCATTCCGTGCGTCGTCCTGTCATTGAAAATGAGTGTAATTTATGTATTAGCGTGTGAGTGTGTGTGTGTGTGTGTGTGTGTTTGTGTATGTGTCTGCCGCATAATAAAACATGCAAAAATATGCAAATTGCCGCAGTCAACGCGATGAACTTTCATTACGCCTTGTTCTCGTCATTCTAAAGAGCGTTTTCCGTTCCGTTCTGTTCCGTTCTGTTCCGTTTCGTACGTTGTTATGAAAATCGATTATGAGTAAGTCACTTAAAGAGTTTATCGAACTTTATGCCACACTGTGAGAGAGAGCTTCGGGCTTGCGAAGAGCTGGGCTTTCTGCCCAGTGCATAGAGAGGCTCAAGCCAAAAGGAGAAAAAGGATATGGATAAGGGTACGCGAGCGAGTGTGGGGTTACAAGAAAAGTGGATGGTTGGATGGTAGGTGCATAATTTTTGCACGCTAGATTGTCATTTAAAATGAGTTAAGTCCCGGCAATTGCTGCAATGCGGAAAACTTTGCCAGTTCTTCCAGGCCAGGTCTCTCGAAGAGTCCTGTGCACTATCTGCCGCCCAGTCGCTGTTCGCGCTGTTCGTTGGTAGTTGGACGTTTGGGTCGGGACGGGTCGTCAGGTAACTGGCGTTATAATGAGCAAACACTAAAAGCAAACGTAGCTGCACGAAACAATGACGAGAAAGAGACCGACAGACACAGCACAAGACAGAGGAGACAGTATAAAGGGCATAAAGAAAGAGCCGGAGAGCGAGAGACGGGGAGCCAGAGCAAGAAGACACACACAAACAAAAACCAATTAGATGCAACGTGCACAGAGGCGCCACACAGCGAAGGCCAAAGGTGGCAGCACCCACTTTTCCGTGTCCTGTCGATGTTGTGACGAGCGACGGACGGGGCTGACTGCTCCTCAGTCCTGACTATGTGTATCTGTAGCTGAGCAAGTGGATAGTGAGGGGCACGCTGAGGGGCAGGGCTCGTCCATTGTGCAGCTTGTTAGCCAAGCCAAAAAAGAAGAAGGAGGGAAACCTAAAATAAAGCTATAACAATGACAACTTTTGGTCGCTATGCTAATTGCATTCTCTGTGTTAATCACCTGGCATTCAGCAGCATTCTTCCCACCGTTTTGCAGATAGATATCTGTAAAAGTCAAACAAGGAATACTTTTATTAGATGCTTAGATTACGAGACAGTTGTTGGAAACAGACGTAAACCTTTAACTTGCGAATTTGCAAGTAAAGTTCGAGAAATTGCAAAGAAATAAAGGAAAATGCAGTTCAATGCTCTGGAGCACATTGTCAGGGAATAATAATTAATTCTTAATAAATTCAAAGAGTGGAAGAACGGAGTTGCATCTAGAAAAATAAGTACTCTAAAAAATATAATATTGAAAAATTAAAGATTTTAATATAGCCAGCTCCTCTCCTTATTCCCTTAAATTTGAAAATCGCTTTTATTGGCCGTTACCATCACCTGTCCCACGTCCCACGTCCCACACCCCACCCCAATAGGGGTGCTTTTGCCGCCCCCTGGAAGTTGCCTCAGCGGATTCTTGGGTGTGTTTACCGAACACGGAGCCGATTTAACTTTTCACTCACCGCGTGACTTTTACAGCCTCTTAATTTAAGCACTCGCCTGCAGCAATGGCTCCAAGGGGATGGGCTGTAATGGCCTAAGAGTGGCAAGGTGGGAGGGGGTGGTGGCTCCAAAATTAATTTGTTGCAGACTCGCGCTTTTAATGTGGCTTTTTGTTGATTTAATGTTGTTTTTCGCCTTCCTACCTACCCCCCACGCGTTCTTGTCACGTAATTTGCGTTTTCTATTCGATTTTTTGTTGTGATAGCAGAGCTGCCACGCCCATGTGCCTGATGTTGAAGTTTGCATGCAACATGAAAATCTATTGAAAAAAAGCCCACCCTTGGCGGTGATGAAGATATTTTTCATGTCCAGAAATATATTTGTAAACAAATATTATCTTGAAATTAATTTGATTAGATTAAGCATTAGATAGGTACTCTGCCACGTCAGTGCTTTATAACGTGATGACTAATTTGCCGTGCTCGGATCAACATCCTCGATAGTATAGTGGTCAGTATCCCCGCCTGTCACGCGGGAGACCGGGGTTCAATTCCCCGTCGGGGAGAGATGTGAGATCTATTTTTTTTCTGTTTTATTTTAGTAGAAATAAATAAACTTTATATACAGGACAACAACAAAAAAGCCTGAGAAACTTTCGCTTGGTCTGCAAATCTCCCTATATGTGTGTGTGTGTATGTGTCTGACAGTCACTCCTTCCGTCTCACAATCACAATTTTGATAAATTAAAAAGATAAAGTCATCTGCAGTTGGCTTTCTCTTGCGCTGCAGCCATAGAATGAATTATATGTAAATAAATGAAATACTTTTCATGCCAAACAAAGTTGAGACCCCACCATGTCCCTTGCCCCTCATCCGGCATGCGCCGTCTGCCTGAGTCTGTTGCTGTATCTTGGAAGATGCATGGATAATGCGGCACTTTGTCGGGATTCTGCCCCTAAAGTGCCTGAAAAGAGTGGACTGTGGGAATCAGACATTCCCGCAGAGCAATCGATGATTGCATTGGAATCCACAGGGTCTGTGCTGGGTAATGTATAGACTGGAATTGGTGGGGGGCGGGGTTCAGTTTTTGGAGGCCGACGGCAAAGCCATTTCCGGCCAGACAATAAACGGTCGCTCGGCATTTCCGTTTGCCTGCGTTGTTGCCGCTCCTGTTTTTCCATATTTCCTTCTTGTGTTCATGTTATTGAAGCTCCGACAATGGAAAAGCCATAGCCAGAAAGCCGGCGACAAGCCCAAGCCCAAGCACAAGCCAATTCACTGCACAAACGAAAATCAAAACAAAACAACAGCAAACAAAAAAAATAAAAAAACGCAAGCCCAGAAAAAGAAAATCTCATTTATCTTCGCTGGAGCCGGCCGCAGGGGCCCGTCCGATACCGATGCCGATGCCGAGGCCGAGGCCGACTCTGAGGCTTGTCGAAAAGTTTTCCCTCGTTGTTCTTGTCGTTTAGCTTAATGGAATTTGGCGCGCACATTTGGCCAGGGACAACAGGGCTGACAAGTCCGTGCGTATGTGTAATGATTTGTCCCAGACAATCAGCAATTGATGAAAATTGTATGAGACATATTTCTAATGTGTTTTCCGTTTCGCCAGGAACAACAGACAGGGTATTCAAATGCGCTGCATAAATAATTTCTTGGCGAAAATTCAAAGGAAATTTGTTTGTTTTTTTTTTTTGCAGCTAATAGAATGTGACACATAATTGAAATTTATTTACAAATAATGCGACTGAAAAGTGTATGCAAAATGGATAATAAATGCTGGCAGTTAAGGTTTCTATTTTGATTGGCTTAACTTAACTTTCTGACTTTAAATATCCATGGAAAATATATGCATTATATATGTATATTAATATATTAATATTGCATTAATACATGCAAATTAATATATGCATCTGTTTGGGTTTATTTTTAATCATTTGATGTGTGCAAATGTGACTAATCAAACATATATTTTCCTTTTTCTTTGCAGATAATGAACTATATTCGGGTACTGTGGCCGATTTCAGCGGCAGTGATCCGATTATCTATCGAGAGCCGCTGCAGACCGAGCAGTACGACAGCCTCAGTCTCAACGGTAAGTTGTAACCACTTCTGGTAATTGAAAACGTCAAGACTGTCATGATAATGCCTCTACGCGCTCCCCATTCCCATTCCCATTGCCATTCCGTTTCCGGGTGCACCTGAGTTGCCCCGTACCCGTGTTGCCTCCCATTGTCAGTGGCCTCTGCTGTCCTGGACGCCTGCTGTCATATGGCGATTGCGTGCGATTGCCTTTTGCATATTTCAAGGACCTCCTCGGTTTCTCGCTCGCTCGCGTTGCCATGCACAGCTTCCATTAACTGAATCTGAATAGACATTGGCACGTTCGACTGTCATTTACCAACGAAGACGGTAGGACCTCCCACCCATCTGTCCGTCAGTGTTCATAATTTATGTGGTTGCTGCACGAGCGGGGTGCTGCTGCCTGCTGGTTGCCCGTGAATGCTGTGAATATTTCATAGAGTCCAGTGACAGGGTCCAAATATTTGTATATATCACTATTCATATAGATATGTAAATATGTATTCCCCATTTAAAGTCAAGCGTTGCCAATGGCTAACATTAAATGCGACTCCTTGAAACATGTACGACCGAACATGTATGACCCACTTGTTTGCGAAATATTCATTACGTATCCAGCTTCACTTGTCCCTAATCGCGACCCATGCACGTGTTCATCTCCCAACATAAAGTTAATGCCCCTCCACTGATAGCTGATAGCAAATACCAATCGAGTCGCTCCTAGGACACGCACCGCGACGCTCATAAATTCATGAAAATTTGACGAAAATCGAAAACTGTCAGCGATAAAAATGTTTACAGCAATCTGAAGGAGCACAACTATAAATGCATTTGATGACTAAACTTTTTTGTTGTTTCCCCACACAGCCCCGAACTTTGTGAGCTCATTCACGCAGGGAGATTTCGTCTATTTCTTCTTCAGGGAGACAGCCGTGGAGTTCATCAACTGCGGCAAGGTGAGTTCTTCCCCAATCAGTTTAGACAACAGGCCACAAAACAAAGGCAATCAACGGAGAGCATATTTTTGCTGATGTTTGGCCAACGGAAGGTCCTTTGTTTGTGGTCCGCAGATTGTCTAGCCAGCTACCAACAGCAGGTATAATATTTATTTTCGATTTTCAGGCGATTTATTCGCGTGTGGCCCGCGTTTGTAAATGGGATAAGGGTGGACCGCATCGGTTCCGCAATCGCTGGACATCGTTCCTCAAGTCCCGCCTGAATTGCTCGATACCGGGCGATTATCCCTTCTACTTCAACGAAATACGTGAGTTTGGCCAGGACAAAGGCAATACAAATATTAAATTTCATTATATTTCGCAACTTTAGAATCGGCCAGCAATCTGGTAGCGGGAGAGTATGGCTCGATGAGCTCGAAACTAATCTACGGAGTCTTCAATACACCCGCCAACTCGATACCCGGCTCAGCTGTGTGTGCCTTTGCCCTGCAGGTGAGTGAACCTTTTGGTGTCTTTGAGCGATACAAAATATTGAATGAAATTCGTTGTGCCATCCGCAGGACATAGCCGATACCTTTGAGGGCCAGTTCAAGGAGCAGAGCGGCATCGGCTCCAACTGGCTGCCGGTAAACAATGCCAAGGTGAGTGTTTTGCAGCATATACTCGTACTTAGCTCTCAACCACAAGTTAGGGCTTCTGCCTTTGCCTTCCTTGTAAGCGCACTTGGAGGCAGCTGTTGCCATGCAAATTTATGACTTATGGCCGGGCATGCCATAAAAAATGCTCAAAGGCAAATGTATTTTTCCTTTGGCACCAAAATTTGCATTTGCATCTCGAAATGCTTTTGCCAATTTCGGGCCAGAAGATGACTTGACTGCACATGTCGCCATCGATTTGGTAGCCTTTCTTCTCCTTACATTCTGGCAGTTGATGTGCGGTCAGGCGAGAGCTCAAGGGAAGCCAAAAGCCAAAACTGAAGCGTATATTCAAAGCTCATTTGGTGTCGGCATAAACATAAATGTTTACTGCAATGTTTAGGTTTAAACTTTGGTGAAGAAATGTATTTGAAATTAGATTTTAACAAGAATTTATTAGCTCACGGAAGTACAAACTTTGCAGCCAAAGGGTACATTCAAAAGAGGGTTACAAAAAAGAGTAATCACCATCGCAGCCCATTGCTGACTAATATTTTATTTAGCCTTGTATCTGATACGCTTTTCGTTTCTTTTTTTTAGGTTCCTGAACCGCGCCCCGGCTCCTGTCACAATGATTCACGAACGCTTCCGGATCCGACATTAAATTTCATCAAAACACATTCGCTAATGGACGAGAATGTGCCGGCGTTTTTCGGTCAACCGATTTTGGTCCGGACGAGCACAATGTGAGTACAATCAAATGCCATACAGCAGAGTCACTCAGTCCCCACTCTGCTTTGGCTCATCTTTATTTCGTTACTCTGCTGCTTCCGTTTCCGTTGGTGGCAGAGGGCCAACAAAAAAAGACCAAGTCAGCCCCTTCCGAGCAGAAATAATGCTGCGGCAGTGTATCCACAATTTATTTGCAGCATTTAAAGTGCAGAGAAAAAAGCTGCAGTGCAATGGGGAATGGGGAATTTGAATACGTGACGGGGTCTAATTGGGGAAGCTCCAATTTGTGGCTATTTCAGAGCTTAATGTGTGGGTAGTCTGTGGGGAGAGAAGAAAGATGAGAAATTCCTTCCAAATACTATTTAAATCAAAGCGAATGCAATCTCCGTAATCCAATTGGTTTTAATATAAATTTGATACTCTTTGCGGACTGCTCGCTCGTTGCACATTGAAGCGCTTGCACCTAAGGCACTTGCCTCATATGGCTGCACTCGGTTCATACTTCAATGTTTCAGCACCTGTGCCGCATCCGCATCCACTCTCGAAATGGAAATTGGCTAAAGGTGTTAGCCAGAGCATATAACCGTAAACTATAACAATCTGAACTTTAGGACGCTGCAGGAGGAAGGGCAGGGGGCACCGCATGACTCAGTGCAAGAGGTGCGAGCGTCGAGCATGTTGGGTCGTGCCCCATAAATTATTTGAAAAGATTGTGCCAACCGAGATGGCAGAGTGGGCTGGGGGGCGGGAATTTAAAAATTCAATTTGGCAACTTTTCCATGTAATTGAGCCACAATTACGAAGCACTGTTGAGATGTGAGTGGGAGGTAAAAGCGGTAAAACTTTAAAGAGGGTAAATCATAAGCGAGCCACTGAGCAGCCCCTCGACCGAGAGTGGAGTTGGTTCCAGGTGGAAGGTGGGCTTGGGTTGGTTAGTGGCAGGAAGCTGCTGTTACTGGTACTGGTACTGGTACTGGTACTTCTACTGGTACTGGTGGCTGCTGTCCTGGCCTGGCCTGGCCTGGCCTGGCCTGCTGCTGCAGTGAAGCGATAGTTTGAAGCAAACGAACCGAACCAGCCAGAAGGAAATGCATGGATGCGCCGAGGAGGCAACCCGTAACGAAAATATGTATGCACAACTGAATAAATTAGAATGAAATATGGACCACGTAGCAACAACGCAGACTACCGACTACCTCCTCCACATCCACATTCGCTTCCTTATCCCTCATTCCCATGCCCATTCGCATACCCATTCGTGTGCCACATGAGCACACCACAACAAATGCATGAGGCAAAGGGTGTGTGGTGCAGTGCAGCCGGTGCGGTGAGGTGAGGTGAGTGGATCGAGCGGGACAAGTGGTGTGCGAGTGGGGAGCAGAATGGCCACTTTCTGCAACTGAATCATTGCATTTTGGGTCTCAGGCCGGCAAACGGATGCGATGCCATGGGAAGCTGTGCGACGCAAGAGCCCAGAGACGGGCATGCATCAGAATTTAATCAAGACCCAAGACTCAATTCAATTGCATAAAAATGTGCAAAAGTTACTTGAACAATTTTCTTTTCTTTTTTTTTTTTTTTGTGGCTCAACTATTTCTGTATGAAAGCGGGGAGGGGCGGAGCAGCTCTGGCGCATTTCCTGCTAACCCACATATTTGAATTAAATTCCCCATTTAATGCTGGAAATAAAATAAAAGCGGCCTAATGAAAGCCATGGAAAGTATCTTGAATAAGCAAGCGTAAACGAAGCTTAGTAGCTTCGCGATTCAAGAAAAATAACTAAAAGCACTAAACCATATTTTAGATTCAAATATCCGAAAGATATACAATGAAGAAATCTCTGCCCAAAAGCTAGTAAGATAATTAATCACTTTAAATCAATTGCCAGCGCTTTTTGTCAGAGATTATATTCCATCTTCGAGAAATGCAATCCTCGTTTTGCCTTATTGGCTTTTGTCTACTTTTCACCTTGAACTTTCTTCACTTTTTGCCACATCTTCAAAGACAGTAGCCAGTTGGCCAGGTTAAGGACCCTTAAGGACCAAGACCAACAATTTCATTTATCATATTTTCCATTTATATTTTAAACAATTCGCATAAATTATTTGAACCGCAGGGCGTCGCAAAGGGTATGCGGGGAGGGGGGCTATTTTATATCGAACACAAAATGACAAAATCAAATCAGAAATTGCCCAAAAATGTGTACAGAAATTTTGCAGGGAGACAGAAATTTATTATAATTTCATTTGTGGCCGGACAGAGAGGAGAATCGCTTGTCTGGGGGCCATCGACCACTTCCGTTCTTCGAGGGATATCCAGGCAGCTGTCCAGCAGGGGCGTGGCATAAATATAAATCTTGGAATGAAGGAACATTGGAAGGGACACTGGCCAGGCAGCAGCAGCAGCAGCAGCAGAGACAGGACACAAAAGCAGGAGGATTTGCATGTTTGGATGAGGAGTGGTGGGGAGGGCAGGGGCAAAAGTTTGCCGCAAGTTGAAAGTTGTAGCATCTCTGAGAAAAGTTGAATGTTTCAGCAAGTTGGCAGCTTTGGCTCTGTTGCAAATTGCTTCCTGTCTTGGACCGGAAGTATCCCATATTCAACTGATTTCTGGCAGCTGGCTGACCATATCCCGTGCCTTCAAAAACCCACCTCTGCCCCTCTGCTCCTGTGGATGGGGCATCCTTGCTTATCGTGTCTCGCCGTTCTTATCGCCAGGCAATGGCAATGGCAATGCCAGCCCACCTCAGGCGGCGGCAATGTGGTTTGGGTTTGGGTGGGGAGGAGGTTAACTTCCTTTCTGCTTTGTCTGTCGCTGTCCCTGTCCCTGTCCCTATCCCTGTCCCTAACTTGTTGTTGTTACTGTCATCGTCGCCCTCCAAAACCCATCCGAGCGATGCAAAAAGTTGGCAACATTTTTGCAAGTTTCAATTGCCCCGGACTCTGGACTCAGGACTCTGGACTCTGGACTTTGACCCGGAGCTGGACATGTTTCTGGCCCTGACTTGGATCCCCCAGACCTTAAACAATTTTCCCATTTTCTAGTTTCGACTTGAAATATCAGTGTATTTATTTTGCATATGCATTGCATGTCCCAAACATTCCTTTCCACACTTGGCCTTTCATTTTTCTAGTTTTTTGGGCCATGCTAAAAAACTTTGCGATAACTTTTGCTCCTGGACATTGTTCTGTCTTCCATTTTAGTTTCTAATTTGAATGGAGTTTAATATTTAAAACGCCCTTTATTTCAATAGTATTGGCAATCAGTTTTATTTATTCATTCATTTGCGGATAAAATAAATGTTGACCTAAAAAAGAATATTTAAAATTTAACATCAGACATGTGGCAGTTGGGAAATGGCTTAAACTATGCCAGAACAAAAAAATACAGAGAGAGAGATTAGTTAATTAACAATAAAAAGCAAAAGCCATCGTGGGGGGGAGGGACATTCAGCTCTAGTTGCAGCTCTAGTTGTTGTCCTTGATGCCAGTGCTGCTGTGCTAGACATTTGCATTTAAATCGAGGCAGGCGGCAATCGTGACAGCAACAATAGACATGGGGCCAGGCCACAAATGTTGCAGGGACGGTGGCGGAGGGACGCACATTCAGGCGCTTCTGTGGTGGAATCACAGAGAGAGAGAGAGAGAGAGAATTTTCATTTTCATTTTTATTATTTCATCTAGTTGTGTGCTGCTGTTTCAGTTGCTGCGAATATATATGTATACATTTGTTGTACATATAAATACACACAAATTGTTTGTCTCTTGTCCAGCGACAATGTTTTTCCGTCCGTCTGTCTGTCTGTCTGTCTGTCTGTGCATCAGTATCTGTGTCTGCCACAGTGTCGTTGCAGTTGTACGAGTAGCTCTGGCTGTGGCTGTGGCTGTCTCTGTGGCTTTCTGGCATTCTGGCATTCTGCTGCTCGTACAACCCCCGGACAGCAGCCAGCGACCATTTTGGCGTCTGTCCATTATTAATGGACATCTAACCAAAATGACAGACATCCATACATCCGTCCATTGTCAGTGGAACAGAACAAAACAGAACAGACTAAAAAGCGACCAAAGAGAACAACAAGTAAAGAAAACATCCATTGACATTTCTCGTTGTGTTTCATATAAAACGAGTAGCAGCAGCAGCAGCAGCAGCAGCAGCAGCAGCAGAACAAGGCGAGCTGCGAGTAGAAATAAAAACTAGATCTATGTGAAATCGCATACCCCTGACAGCTGCAACATTAATTACGTAGCTGGATGGATAATATTATGTTTATTTGTGTCTGCCTATTTCCAGTTATCGCTTCACGCAAATCGCTGTCGATGCACAGATCAAAACTCCGGGCGGCAAGACATACGATGTGATATTTGTTGGCACAGGTGAGTGCCATTAAACTACATTCAAATTCATATCAAAAATCATTCACTAACTCATTTATAGACCATGGCAAGATCATCAAATCGGTGAACGCCGAATCGGCAGATGCCGCTGACAAGGTTACCTCCGTGGTCATCGAGGAGATCGATGTGCTGACCAAAAGCGAACCCATACGCAACCTGGAAATAGTACGAACCATGCAATACGGTGAGTCGAATGCCACAAAACCTTAACTTGAGGTTCCCAAGTTAACTCTTTGGGGCTCTTCCACAGATCAACCCAAGGATGGCAGCTATGACGATGGCAAATTAATCATTGTGACAGACAGTCAGGTGATAGCCATACAATTGCATCGTTGCCACAATGACAAAATCACCAGCTGCAGGTAGGTCGCCCACAGGACGCCGCATACCAGACAATGCAGAGAAGACACCAGAGAGAATGGCATTTTTATTATCATGTAACAATTTGCGTGACTTTCCATGGCATGTCGTGCGCCTGTCTGGCCTGGCCACTTGACTGCCCCAATATGCTGCGCATTTATGGAGCTTTTACATTTTTTACATTTCACAATTTTTGCAATATATTTATGCACCGATCCACCTCTACCTCTCCATCTGCAGCGAGTGCGTCGCCTTGCAGGATCCCTACTGTGCCTGGGACAAAATTGCCGGCAAGTGTCGCTCCCATGGTGCACCGCGTTGGCTCGAGGAGAACTATTTCTATCAGAATGTGTCCACTGGCCAGCATGCGGCCTGTCCCTCAGGTGAGTACCAGTGGCAGCCCTGCCATCGAATGCGAAATTAACCTCTGCTCTGTTTTTGTCTCTTCACACTCACCAGGCAAAATCAATTCAAAGGATGCCAATGTGGGCGAGCAGAAGGGTTTCCGGAATGACATGGACTTATTGGATTCGCGTCGTCAGAGCAAGGATCAGGAAATCATCGACAATATTGATAAGAACTTTGAAGGTGATTTATCTAAGCGTTTTCTCCCCTCTCTCTGTGCTCATCTTTATGTTGCCATATTTTGCTGTTCGTATTTTTTGTATAATGCACGTACTTGCTTGTCACTCTTCCTGAAATGGGGCTGGCTCCCTTACTATCTCTCTCTCCCTCTGTGTCTGTATCTGTATCTGTGTAGCGCTAACCTGTGCTGCTCCTTGAGAACTCTTACCCCTCTTGTCCACGTCCGTTGTCTTCTGTTGCAAATCACAATTTCATTCCCCAGACTCCGTTGGCTTATTGCCACTTTATGCTATTCAATTTCAATCCCAAATGTTTCCCATGCACTTTATTTCACGCGGAAAATACACGCGAATATACTGGCGCATATATTTTATATTTTGCTGTTGATGTGAAGTTTTTCCATTTGCAATGGAAAATGCTCTGTCTTGGTGTACATCTTTTCTACTTAATAAAAGATACTGCAAATATTTGTTGGGTATTTAAAATGTATCTATTTACTCATTGAATGAAGGCTCATTCCTAAAGCTCTCCTTCGGAGTAAACCAAGTCTTAAGATACAGCAAGTACTTTGCTCTCAATCGTCTCTTAATTTCTTCTACTTTTGACTGCTTGTTTGAAACTAAATCTGCCCATATCTATACCCATTTATAATACTCAACTATTACCATACCATGTGTTGATGTTGTTGTACAATTATATTAACAATTCTTGTTCAATGTTCTTCTTGTTTCTTTTTTGTGTATAATTTCCATCTGTTATCCTTGTAACGTGCGTTCTAAATTCGATGTTTGGATGTTTATTGATGTCGTTGCAATACTCGTTAATGGATCATCTTCCATATAAACCCCACACTGAAACCGCCCCACCTGAAACCACCTGAAACCACCTGACACCTGACACAACAATGAAACAAACAACAAAACCAATCTATACAATATATTTGTTGTTGTGTATTGAAATGTTTGTTGAATGTTTTACCTAAATGCACAAACTGTATCGATGCGAACAACCCGAGATATTATCCACACAAATTTGTGCAAACTGTTCTAATCGAAGGCCCTCAAATTTCCGCAGACATTATCAATGCCCAGTATACGGTGGAGACTCTGGTGATGGCCGTGCTGGCCGGATCGATATTCTCCCTGCTCGTGGGCTTCTTTACAGGCTACTTCTGCGGCAGGCGCTGCCACAAGGACGAGGACGATAATCTGCCGTATCCGGACACGGAGTACGAGTACTTTGAGCAGCGTCAGAATGTCAATAGGTGAGTGAGCAGTCCGCTAATCTATTCTCCACTTATTACTGATTACCCGCCGACTCTTTCCCTCCAGCAGCTTCCCCTCTTCGTGCCGCATCCAGCAGGAGCCCAAGCTGCTGCCCCAGGTGGAGGAGGTGACCTATGCGGAGCCCGTGCTGCTGCCACAGCCACCGCCGCAGAACAAGATGCACTCGCCAAAGAACACGCTGCGCAAGCCACCCATGCATCAGATGCACCAGGGACCCAACTCGGAGACGCTCTTCCAGTTCCAGCCGGACGGCTACAATACACAGCAGACATATCGCGGACGCGACAACTTTGGAACGTTGCGCTCCCACCAGGTGATGGTGAGTATATACTCACCCCTGAGAGTGGCATTTCTCATCTATCATTTCCATTCCTCCCCCCAAACAGGGTGACAACTATCGACGCGGCGATGGCTTTTCGACCACACGCAGCGTCAAGAAGGTAAGTTTGTTCCCTCCAACTGGGCCTGTGGCGATTGATTATTTTCATTTCCGATTCGTACTACTACTACAACTACAACCTACTACTAATCTCTAATTGTAACTCTAATTGCGCTCTTTCGATGTTGTTGACATTTATTGACATTAGTTAACTTAACTAACTAACTAACTAACTCTAAGTCGGAGTACCTTGTGGTGCGCTTGTATTTGATTGAACTCTCCTCGCACACTCGTCGATTGGTGTATTTCTTAGACTCACTTTTCGAACATATAACTATTTGATGTATTTGATCTATGTATGTATGTGTGATGTATCTGTGTGCGTGTGTTTCTATCACCCATAGTACCTATCATATAAATGTTCAAGCACCAACATCGTCCACATAAATGTTGTACCTACTACCTGTCATTGATGTTGCATATTATAATTTAGTTGTACCATTTGCATGTCTATTTTATTTTTCATCTATGCATACATACATCTACAATTAATTTAGTTTGTTAAGTATACATTTAAGTCATGTTTGGGTATACTAAAACGTATGGAAACATCTATAAAATATCTTTTAACATTTATTATATATTTATGTTATCAATTGGTTGCTTTTTATTGGGCCTCCTTAAGTCATTTAACCATTCCTAAACCACTATTCAATCTGTATATATATACATATATATCATATAGGAATTCCTCATCAACCATTACTTTCTTTTGCCAGTATATCTAAAATATATCTTCGTATCTCTTGGGCTATCGTCTTCAAGTTGGAAATACACCAATCGTTCGAATTGAGTTGGGTTGGATCTATGCAGGCCCCTCGCTCTCTCTTTTAGCTCTCTCCTGCTCTGTCTCTCTCTCTCTCTCTCTGTTAGCATTTTGTATAGCTAATATTCCTAACTCAGAGAAAAAAGAACCACTTTCTTTTCTATATCGTTACTAACTTCTCCATGCTATCGAACTATTCACAAAAACTCACAAAAATCAGACTGCAGACACCTAACCAACATGAAAATACCTCTAAAAAAAAAAGAAAACAAAAACTCTATCTCTATCTTTTCTCTCTTCTTTTTCCCTTTTTTCATCAGGTTTACCTTTGAGACGGGAGTGGGGCGGCTGAAACCAGTCAGGGACTAATTACCCAAAATATGGTAAATACTTTATGCATAACTAAAGAAAATTTAGTTCATTTTCTTTCACCCAACTTTTTATTCATATGTTTTAAATATATTATTTTGGCTTTTATTTTTTGTTACCTGTTTGTCTTTGGTTTTTTGTTTGCCAGGTTGGGGTTTATTTTTCGGCCTAACTTCCCGTTTAATATTTCCGTTTCCAAATATTCCGCTCAAAAGCTGCAATGTGGAAGCTCACGTCACATGGAGCTCAACAGAAATTCGCTAGGCAAAAAGTAATTTCTGAATAAATATCCAAACATTTTTGCAAATTTGCTCACCTTTCGATCTTGTTTCGGTCTCTTATTCTTTGGTTTGGTTATACATAAGTTCTTTTTTGAATAGATCCGTTCCGTAGGCACCAAGTTGTTGAAGATTTGTTGTTTGTTCTCTCTCTCTCTCTCTCTCTCTATCTCTCTCTTAAGTCACTGTTTTTCTTTTCGTTCCACATTACATTTATGCGAATGCCAAAAACGAAATTCTCAATCGATCAATCAGTTAAATCAGTCAATCGGTCAATCGGTCAATCTGTCAATCGGTCAATGGTTGTCAATTCAGTCCAGTCAGCCAGCCATCCCAGCCAGCGCCGCCTCCCGCCTCCAACCCAAGCCTGAACTCTGTATGCCTGAGGGTGTGTGTGTGTGTGTGTGGGTGTATGCTTTGGGTTGGACTTAGCGCCATACTACTTTAAGAACTGTCTACCCAAAACACTTGAATCGCTTGAACTCTTCTGCATGGGCGCCGTTCTAGACTCCTCCCAACAACAAACAAACAAAAAAACACCCAAGAATCCTACTTCAATGATTAACTGCTCAACAAGTGTGTCCACAATAGATATACCCACACAATACCCACTATTTGTAACTGCAATAATAAATATTACATGTACTCCTGTAACCTTTTACTTTCGATATATAATTATATGCTACATGAAATTATCATTTTATTGCTTGCCAACTACAAACAACTCCCCGATTGGTATCACTTGAGAATTCGCATAAAAAGAGATCGAAAGTTGCAATTTAAAGATCGGATTGAGAATATTCAGTAAACATTTAGAGTTTATCATTTCGGAATCAATAGAGCCCAAGCATTATAGATCTATAAATTGTCTTTGCCTTGCAACATTTGAGAGCCACAAAATTGACTGCAACGTTTTTTTGTTTTCTTAGATTAAAAAGCAAATTAGAGAATATGTTTTTGGTTTTATATTTTCGTTTGGTTCGATTTGTATACATATGAATATATATCTTTTTCCGAACTGATTAACGAATAACATAACGAATAACTGAATATATAAGAAAGTAAATGACACTCCAACCCTTAGGCTGTAAACAACACAAACACACGAAACAGAAGTCTTGGTCGCGCAAGAAGACAGCCGCCCCGTCATGGCATTGGTAAGTTTCTCTCTCTCACTCTCTCTCTCGCTCTCTCTACCCTCTTCACTCTCTTAACCGTTCACCAACACACATACACAGAGACACTCACATAGACACGCTCGCAACGTGATTTCCCTCCTTGCCTCTTTCTCTGTCTCTCTACCGCTCTAACCTCTGTGACTTTTCTCTCCTTCTGAAATGATCTCTGAAATCTTCGGAAACTTCCATTGGGTCATGCCATCATTTTGTGGATTTATTTACCCTTAAATGATATTGTTATTTATTTTTTGTACCTACATAACTTATCTCTGTAAATGTAGTATATGTCTGTGTGAGTGTTTTTGTGCATGTTGCAACAGACTCGATTCGATATTTGCCATTCCTCAATATTCAATGCCCGATATGTGTGTATTTTGTGTGTCTATCCACCCCCAACCCATATGCAACATGCACCCAAGCACTTGTACATATGTACATACATAATACTATGTAGTATCTCTGTGGCTGTGTGTGTGTGTCTCTTGTCTCCACCGATCCACCTATAAAATATATACCCAAAACGATGTGCTTCTATATCTTTTGGTTTGTTTTTTGCAGTAACTCAACATCGCTCGAATAGCCCCCAGCCACAACCACAGCAACAGCAGCAGCAGGCACAACAGCAGCCGCACTCCAGCTCCGGCTCGTCGCCGGTAATGTCGAACAGCAGCTCCAGTCCGGCGCCACCCTCGAGCAGTCCCAGCCCACAGGAGAGCCCCAAGAACTGCAGCTACATTTACCGTGATTGATTGCTATGTAACACCAAGTCGATGCCCCTCATTCAGGCCATGCCCTCGCCCACGCCGACACCGACACCGACGACTACACCCAACCACCCTACGCCCAGGCCACACCCAGTCGCCAGTCGCCCAGTCCAGCAGGAGCTTCATGATCATCACAGTCCAATAATCAAGACCTACGCCAAGTCGATGCCTGTAACGCCCATACAACCGCAGTCGCCGATGGAAGAGACGCCCTCCTACGATCTCTACGAACGCCATGCCCGCTCCGATGCCACATTCCACTTCGACGACGAGGTAGATGTGGATGATGATGACGACGATGATGATTTGGAGGATACCTCATCGCTGGCCATGATCACACCGCCGCCACCCTACGACACCCCTTACCTACTATCGCGAAGAACCTGCAACAGTGCGGCGGCGGCTCTATCGCCACCAGTGCCGCCACCACGCAGGTTCCGCTTCGGCAACCGGGAGTTCTTCAGCATGAGTCCGGGTGGTGGTGGTGGTGGCAGTGCCACGCCCACATCCCAATCCAAAGGCAGCGCCATAACACCCACAAAACTGAGCGCCGCTGCTGCGGCCATGTTCGCCACACCACAAATGGCCCAACTGAACCGAAAGTGGGCGCATCTGCAGCGGAAGCGACGGCGGCGGAACAGCAGCTCCGGCGACTCCAAGGAGCTCGACAAACTGGTGCTGCAATCGGTCGACTGGGATGAGAATGAGATGTATTAGATGTGTAGATATGCGTGTCTGTAGTTTAAGAGCGCTGATGATTCTGGCAGGAGCTGGGTGAGTGGAGATAAGTCCACATACAAGAAATAGAAACAGATACGATCTCTAACAGGGTCTAGGGCTGAGGCTGAAACTATCCCTATTATGTATGTATGTCCTTCCCCCTTCCCCCTTCTCCACCTATCTGCGCTCCACTTAAAGCTTGCATTTTTCCCGATATGAATACACAAACATTTGCGATAGCAGCTGAATGGGGATAGCCAGAGAAATTATACACGAAATTTAAAGTTATATATACATATAGCCTATACATACCCAGGCCTGCATAACATACGTATATAAACCATATACTTGAATGAATATAAATAAATATAGTTCGAGGTTCGAGGAAGGGCCTAAGCTAAGTTAGAGCCAGCTGCAAACGAAACGAGATATTGTTAATTAACATTGATTGAGAACACATTGAGAAGAGAGGAAGGAGTCAACAGCTTGTACATATTAATCTTAGAGTCGAAGTTGAAAGACGTAAACGTAATTTAAGGCAGAACCTTATTTGATTAGAGGAGGGAGTATACGCGTTATACACACACGTTTTTTGCATTTAAACCCCCAGACAAAATGGAAAAAATAGAATAAATTTACAAAAGAAAGAAGAGAAAAACAAAACAAAACAAAAGAAAACGCTTATTACTGATTTATATAAAAACAAAACGAAACACAAAAGAAGTTCTCGTAAAATACCAAAATAGTAGGGCAAACAAATTAGTCTTTAAGGGCAGCATTCGATTCGCAATTCGAGAAACAGATCCTCCACTGCTCCGAAAACGGAACTGCCAACCGCAACAGGAAATATGCTCCAAAAATATATTCTCACACACCAAATCAGACATCAACACACACAGAATCTATTAACGAGTGCATTTTCTAAGGTCAATTTTAGTTGCAGAGCCTTAAGCTTCTTTTTACAATTTCAAAATCTGCTATAGAAATGTGTAAATTATGTACAGGACTCTATACATACGCAATACTCGTGTACGATAGCCGATCCAAGGATCCAAGCAAACTGTACAGATATATGTGCCATAAATAGGGGACGGGCCCGCTTTGAGTTTAGTTGTTATAGTTTGCATTGCATTTAGAATGGTACTTTACCGGGGACAGAACGAACAGAGCTCTCTCTCTTAATATATATGATAAGAATGAGTTTGAGAAGGGGGTAGAAGGGTAAAGGTAAATGTAAAGGTAAAGGTAAAACACATTTATTCCGTGTGAAGTGATCGATCAAAATTTAGTGAAAGCATTAACTAAACTTTAGCCTAGCCACATAGGGTTTGTATTATAGATTAGGCCAGAGGATGGAGAACTTTTGAAGATATTTGCACTAGGGGCATTGCTAATGTTGTTCTCATTAATAGAGTATATACACACACACACACACACACACAATATATAGGTTAAGCTAACCGATATTTAAATATTTTGTATGAAAAACCTTAACAGAACCTTAACATCCGACTAAATTTAAAAACAAAATATTGTATGGAACACTCGAGGCATTGCAAGTTGCAAGACTCTCTGCACGAGATAAAAAGCGTAGAAATATCTAAATCAAAGCAAAGTTTGTAAGAACAATTAACAAATCGTAGAGTAAACAATAAATAAACAAACACACACTCAACGATCATGTATGTACTATATATAGAAGTGTATGGAGTGGAGTAGCAATTTAAATGCTTTTATATGCAATTTTACTTTTTGACAAAATGTATACAAGTAGGAAAGAAACAGAATCAGAAATTACATACGAATGCAATAAATTTAGACAGCCAAAGACACACAATTAAATATTCTATTCTAATCTAATTTAAAATATTTATAATTGTTTGAGCTACATTTTATTTAGTTTTAGTTGTAAATACACCGATTGTACATGTATTTTTTTAACGGACTTTCATTGCACTGAAGCAAATATCGTATATGTTGCATTAGTTTTGGTTAATTTAGTTTGTACTCTTTGTTTTTGTCTTTGTTATTACAACTCAAGTGTGTGGAGTACTTCGAAAGCAATATGAACAACACGTAACAAACAAACAAACAAACAAACAAACATTTATATATGGTATAATTCATAGGAAAAAAGCAAATCAAACAAAAGTCAGACACATAGCAGCAGAGTAGCAGCCGCAGCAGCAGAAGCAAAAGGGGGAAGAATTAGGAAACACCCTTAGGCATACCGTAGGAGTTTGAACTAATTCTAGAACTACATACATACATCAACTACTTATACAATTGCGTAAACGAGTATTAGCTCGGAATCAGATCATTAACTTTTATACACTTTACCATTTACATAAACTATACATAAATATATACAACAAGCGAACAGAATACCGATTTCATAATATATAGTACACGGCAAACCGAATATGTAGTTAGTTGTACTCGTAATTTAGAGCCAGGCTGCAATTGAAAGGTATTACAGTGAATCATGCCGACAAACAGAGAAAACAAACAACCAGCAACAACAGCACACACACTCATAAAAAAGATCCATGAATATACCGATTATATAATTATACATTATGTATATATATATACATAGATGACCCATATACATACACTTATTAGATACTTTAGCAGAGAGAGATTCTCTAGAGATGCTTTTAAAAATACAAACAAATTCGAAAATCCCAAAAAAATGAACAAACAAAAATAAATGAATTAAGCAAATGAAAAGTATTTTATTAAAAGACACGACTCTCGCGATTACTCGATGCAAAAGGGGTAGCAGAGTAAAACAGCTAAAGATAGAACATACAATACCCGATATATACAATTTCTTAAAACTTCTGCAAAACAAACACAAAAAAACAAAAACACTCGTGAGATCAACAAAACTCAGCAACTTTTTATAGAGGAGCAGCCCAACCAACTGTGGTTCGGATAGAGATGAAGATGAAGATACTTTAAAGATAAATTGTAAGCTAATTGAAAACGACTTTTAACTTTCTCCAAATAAGACGAAACGAAACGAGACGATTATTAGCCATGTATGCCGAAAACCGAAACTGAAATCAGATTGTAGCGAGCGCATTCGTATTTGCTATTTAGCAATTAATTATAAAGAAAAAGAAATCAAGAAGAACAACACAACCGGCATTAACAAATTAGTGACAAAACGCGAGCCCTAGAGAGCGCAAATATAACACATAGGGAGGAATAGGAATAGGAATGGAAAACCAAGACACACTCAAGTTCTCATTTTTCCATTAAACGATATATATTCAAGTGCTTCTTACATAAAATAAATAAATATATATATATATACATATATATAAATGATATATATATATAATGAAGATTACATGGTAGATATTATTATTACGGGACGGAAGCGAAAGCTGGACACACATTGGCATTATGAATACCTACTAACTAGTTTAAGGCATTTACTATACAGAAAGAAACACAACTCTATTATGATTATTATGTTTTGTGAGCGAACTTGGAGCGAACTATTACAGATTACAGATAACAGATAACAGATAACAGCATAAAGAACAGTTTTAGGGTTAAGCCTTATACTACCTATGCACGATGATTTCCCCCCTCCTGCGGATGGTCGTGCCGTGTCGTTTGGTTTTATAATTTCTAAGTAGCCAGCTCTCTATATGCAGTACATATAGTATATATACCATACACAAACAAACGTAATCGATGCATTTTACTTACTTGAAAAGCCATCAATGAAGCAAATGAAGTTAAAGCAAGTTCATGATTCAATTTATATAATTATGTTAAGATTTTATAACGCAACAAGCCTAACGTATACATTACCTATATGAATACTATTATACGAGACTTTGTAAATAATACTTCAAACCAACCAACAAAAATAAATAATCTTTCATTCGAGCAAAACAAAAGAACAACAAACCCAGGACAAAAACATCAAAAATCATAACGAAACGAAATGAATCGAAGCCAAGATAAATACCGATTCCAGAATCGACTTTTTACAGCCTTGGTTCCAACCACAACACACCACAAGACTCACAGTCCCCCAAAAAGGTGCACGATCCACGAATAGGAGATGAGTATGTTATGCATTCTTTAGCGGTTACAAATACGTAAGGATAAATTTAAATTGTTGAATATGTAGAGCAAAGCATAATTGAAGATAAAGAAGGAATAACACAAAATATTTAACCAACATAAGTTACAAAAACGCTATACACAAAAACAAACGGTACTTCCAAGCAACTATAGAGCTAACAGCAAACCATTTAAACAATTAAACTGCAAACACCTAATGAGTGAAGTTAAACGAAATGAATTGAATTCCGCACTCCTGCCACCCTCCCAATAACAATGGCTCCAAAGTTCACTCTCTCTTCCGTAGTACTCTCCCTCTACCAATCCGAAATTCTCCATTATTTCGAATTGATTTCGAACCAAACGCTTCACAAAATTAAACAAAAACTCCGAACTTTGTGCGGAAGGTGTGCGAAATCGGTTAATCAGAAGAATCAGCATACACAGAAGACAGCGAGAAGAAGATCAAGATCAACATGAAGAACATCCGTTAAATGAAAGACAAGAAGAACAAACGAAAATTGTTAGTAAAAAGACTGAGCTACAAAATATACAAGAACAAAAAAACAAAGCAAAAACAAAAGAAATAAAAGCAAACAAAGAACGCTATCGATATCGATAACGAAATCGAGATGAAAGCTAAAACAAAAGCAAATTAATGAATACTTTTGATTTATTGAGGAGTTTATTAATTAATGTGCAATTAATGTGTAAACGGTTTTCTAACTTGACGCTTGACTAGAATTCCATTTCGTTCGATTCAATATGATTTGGCCAATCGAGAGAAGTTCCTAGCAAACGGAGGCAGCCAGCCCAAAAATATCAATCAGTAAGTGAATCAATCAATCGATCAGATCAGATCAGATCAGATCAAACCCAGAAAAGAGGAACTTCCGCCTATCAATGTTAGTCCAGGCCATAATGATTGCTTTTGGCAAACTCATTCATTATCTGCTGATGTGGGTCATTAAATACGTAAATTGAGAACTTTTGTTTCCGTTTGGAACTCGAGATTGTATTGAGATTGAGGTGCTTTCTATTGTTTGGTCACTGCCACAGCATAATCGAGATTAAAATACCTAGAACATATATATATACAAATATATATAGTATATATATACATATATAGAACACGTATATATGCATACACTTGCTTTTAGCTTTCCTAGAACTCTGATTTCCATACTTGAACGTACAGTAAGCTGCGAGTAATAGGAATTAGTCTCAGACACGAAATAATCAAACTCAAGGCGCTAAAAGAATGCGATTCGATTCGATTCGATTCAATTCGATTTGATGAAACATTTTCAATTAATTCCACTCAAAAACATTACAGAACAGAACTAAACGAATCGAAACGAATCGAAAATACATACAACTTTATAACATTAAATTCTGAAGCAAAGCAACAAACAAAGCTGAAAGAGAAGCAGATTAAAGAACAACAACAACCACATATTATTAATGATTATTATATTGTATTATTATAACTGAAAATATTTAGATGAAATGACGATTCTTAATTATAACACACATTATTATAGATACATACTGAACAAACCGAGGCAAAAAACCCAAAAACCAAAAAAAAAAAACGACAACAAATGAAACAAACAAAAAACGGGAACGGCGAGAAGGGAATCGAAAATGATTAATAAAAATGAAAAATATAGAGAATATTATATTATGAACATTCCCCCCAATGCCTTTCAATTCTTTTTGCACATTTTAAATAGTAATTTTCCCTTGATTGATTTTCTCCTTTAACATCACAATCAAGCATAAAGATAAGTGAACTCTTCATTTCGAAATGGTAAAAATATCAATCGGAGTGCTGGGAGCTTCATAGCTTGACCGCACAGACCTAATCAGACCTAATATGGTGGTGGCCGTACCTAGGGCCAACATTTTGTATCAGCAATGCTCCAACATGGCGAAACATGGCTGGCCCAACGAACCGACAACTGACAAGAGGAGCTGCACCCCGTCCAGCGTACGCACCCCAGACTGATAACCCAGAGGCAGGACGGATGAGATAAGGACCGGAGCCAGCTAAGAACATGCAGAGCAGATGAAAGGCGGTGACGACATCTCCAAGTGGAACTAAGACATCGAGGGCAGGCGCAGAACTAACTGAAAGGCGCAGTAACTCAATCTCATTGTTGCTCAATGTCCAACCAGAAAACTGTCGACTTTTGTGGACTACTTTTGTATCCCGCCTCGTAGTGGGTCAATCAAATCAAGGCTAGTGCTGGGCATAGATAGAGTGTGAGCTAGTCAGTCCGTAGAAACTAAATCCGAAATCAGTTTCCATTCAATCGCGACACTGAGAGCAACATGCAGTCGTTGCCTTCCTGGGTCCAACTGCTGGCGTTGGCACTCTGCGTATGCCAGATGTGCGCCCTCCAACCCAGGCCTAGGTCTGATGACGACGACTATGACTTTAGTGCGGAGAACGAGGATTCGTTCACGCCGCAGCCCCTAAGGCCGCCTCCATGGCAAGAGGCTCCCCAGCCACAGGAGGCTCGTGTGCAAGTTCCCGGCGTGGGCGACATTGTCGGTGTACGCGGCTATAAGGCGATCTCGGGACGGCCAATCAATGCATTCCTCGGTGTGCGCTATGCCCAAGTGGGTGCCGGTCTGGGACGTTTCCAGCAGGCCAGGGCCACGAGTTTCCAGGGCAGAGTGGATGCCACCACAGCCAGTCCGAATTGCGCCCAATTTCCGGAGCTGCAGCGACTGCAGGCGGCCGAGGCACGCGGGGAGAACGTTGACGACTGTCTGACCCTCAACATCTATGCGCCCGAAGGAGCACGCGATCTGCCCGTCCTGGTCTTTGTCCACGGTGAGATGCTATTCGATGGCGGTGCCGAGGAGGCCCAGCCGGACTACGTGCTGGAGAACGACATTGTCCTGGTGTCGATCAACTATCGTCTGGCTCCGTTCGGATTCCTCAGCGCCCTCAGCGATCAGCTGCCTGGCAATGTGGCACTCTCGGACATCCACCTGGCCTTGGAGTGGCTGCAGCGCAACCTTCCCCACTTTGGCGGCAACTCTGGAAAGGTGACTCTAGTGGGTCAGGCAGGCGGAGCCACGCTGGTTCATGCCCTCAGCCTGAGTGGTCGTGCAACGAACCTCTTCCAGCAGCTCATCCTGCAGTCTGGCACGGCCCTCAATCCGTACCTCATCGACGAACGCCCCCTGGAAACTCTGGCCACATTCGCGCGCCTCGCCCGCTGTCAGTATGCCGGTCGCAGCCTGGCACCGCTCTACGACTGCCTCAGCCGTCTGCCCACCTCCCAGGTGGTCAGTGCCTTCGAGCAACTGCTGCAGCAGAACGAGGCACGCGGGCTCAGCTTCCTGGGCGGCTTCAAGCTCGTGGTGGGCGATCCCCTGGGCTACCTGCCCGAGCACCCTGCCGCACTGGCTGCCAAAGCGGCCAACAGCAGTGTGCCCATGATCGTGGGTGCCGCCAAAGATGCCAGCGCCTTTATTCTATCACGTGAGTGCTTAGCTAATGTTGCGCTGGGTCAGATCTGGTCAAATGCGATAAGACTATCAGTCTCAGTCTGAGAGTCCAGTTCCAACCAACCAACCAACCGATTAGTGAATGTTTCTGCTTGCCATTTCCTTTTAGGCTTCTACGACCAGATCCAGCGCGTACAATCGCAGAATGTGAGCGACTTCATCAACGTGGTGCTGCGCCACACGGCGCCTCCTAGTCAACACAAGGCATGGCTGGACTGGGCCCGCAGGGAGATCTTTTCGCAGGAGCACGATCGCACGGCCAGTGCCCACAGTGTGTCCCAGGGCCTGTTGGAGTTGAGTAACATGATCCTGTATCGGGCGCCTGTCATCTACTCGATCCGCCTCTCGCACAAGAAGAGCCCCGTCTATTTGTACACCTTTGACTATCGCGGCGAGCATCACCGGTTCGGCCATCTGGACAATCCCCTGCCCTTTGGTGTGGATGCCTCTCTGAGCGATGACAGCGTGTATCTGTTTCCGTATCCGCCGGAGGCTAGCCGCCTTAATCCCGTGGACAAGTCGTTGTCTCGTGCGCTGGTCACCATGTGGGTGAACTTTGCCGTTACTGGCATACCCAATCAAAATTCTGGCGTCTGGCCTAAGGCCACTTCCGAGTACGGTCCCTTCCTGCGCTTCACCAACTCCAGGCAGAGCATGCTCGAGCTGGACCCACATTTCGGTGACGGACTCTACGCTCCCAATCTCTATGGACAGTACTTCAATGCAACCAACAGCACCACCACAGCAACAGCAGCTACAACGACAACGACAACAACGACGACGACGACCAGACGGCCGTATGTCTACAATCCTTATGTTAACCGACAGCCAAACCCCTATCCCTATAACTATAACGCAACGACCACAACTTCCACGACAACGACGACCACGAGGCGGCCAATGTATGCGTACAATCCGTATGCCAACTGGCAGCCAAACAGACAGCCTGGACAGGCTCAGCCGTTCCCAAGGAGGCCGACGGATCCTGCGTACGAAAGGGCTCAGGAAATCAGGCGGCAGCAGGTGATACGGGAGCAGCAGGAGCGAGAGCAGCGGATACGTGAACAGCGCGAAAGGGAGCAGCAGCAGCAAGAGGAGCAGCAACGCCGCGAGGAGGAGGAACGAGAGCAGCGGCGTGTGCAAGAGCAGCGAGAGCAGGAAGCACAGCGAGAGCTGGAACAGCGCTACCAGATGCAGAGGGAGAAGCAGCAGCGAGAGCAGCAGCAGCGAGAGCAGCTGGCAAGGGAACAGCAGGAGGTCCTGGAGCAACAGCAGCGAGAACAAGAGGCGAGGGAGCAATGGGAGCGAAACAGAGAGCGAACGGAAGTGCATCGTAGTCCGCAGGAGGAGTTGGAGCAGCGGCAGCGGGAGTGGGAGCGGCAACAGCGTGAGCGTGAGCGGGAGCAAACAATCAATCCAGATGAACCAGACGATCGGGAGCTGGAAGAGAGGGAGCAACAGGAGAGAGAAGAACAGCAGCGACTGCAAATACTACATGAACAACGCCTTCAGTACGAGCAGCGGCAGCGAGAGCAGCAGCAGCGCGAGCAGGAGCAGCGAGAGCAACTGGCCAGAGAGCAGCAGGAGCAACAAGAGCAGCAGCAGCGCGAACAAGAGCAACGGGAGCAGGAGGAAAGAGAGCAACAGGAGCGCGAGGAGCAGCAGCGAGAGGAAATGGCGCGTGGTTATCAGCCGTACGAGCCTGAACAACAGGAGAGCTCTCGCAGGCCCTATCCCAGCTACGAGGACTACGTGCGCAGAGACGAGGAAGAGGAACCACTCGACTTTGAACCCGAAATCGATGAAAGCTCCAACCGAAACTATTCCGAGGAGCAGGAACGAGAGCAACAACAGCGCGAGCAACTGTATCGCGAGCAGCAGGAGCGAGAACGCGAGCAGCAGGAGCAGGAACGCGAGCAACAGGAGCGGGAGCGCCAGTCCCAAAACCCGAATGAAGACGAGGAAGATCAGCAAGACCGTAGGCAGCCTTACCAAACCTACGAGGAGTATTTGAGGGCCAATGAGGAAGCTGAAGCGGCAGCAGCAGCTGCTCAGGAAAGTGAGCCGGAGCCGGAGCCTGAGCCTGAACCTGAACGCGAGAATGATCCCAGCGCATACGAAAGCTACGATGATTACATACGAGCGCAGCAGGAGCGTCAGGAGGCAGAGGAGCGAGAACGGGCTGTACAAGAGGGCTGGGAGCACTCCCGCCCAGAATATCCAGGCTATCGGCAGTTTGTCAGCAATCATCACAGCTCCCCGCAGCACGCCAAGCAGCTGCGCAGGCAACAGCGACCCAATCTGTAGAGCATTCAGCATGGAATCTTGCTTAGGAGTTCTTTATTAAATATAAAATATATATCATATGAGTAATCAATACCAATTGTAATGAAAGATCTGGCAGGATCCTACTGCATCGATGGGCTTATTTTTAATTGGCTCAGTGCATGGCTTCATAGCCGTATCTTGTTGCGATTTGGTCGCTTCACCAGACTCTTGCGTACCGCCAGCTTCTTCATCCGACTGGCAGTTGCCGCAGCCAATTGCTTTTTGCGCTGTGCCTTGGCCCTCTTGCGACTTTGGCTGCGTAGGTAGTAGATTTCGCGTATAAGACTCTGGCCCTGATCCTCGTCGCGCAACGTGGCGGAGAACTCATTGAAATAGTTGCCGCCAATGGTCAGCGTCTCGTCGATCTTCATGTACGGGCCGTAGAGCGTGGTCATTGGCGGCCAATAGCCGGAACGATAGGAGCCCAGGGGATTGCCGCTGATCACAAAGTTTGTCCACAGTTCGACCATGCGGCGGGCCATCGTCACATCCGGCGGACTCAGACGCTGCACATGATCGGGATAGGGGAAGAGGTAGAGGGCCTCGTCGGTCAGCGAGACGCCCGCCTTGAACGGACTCTGCATGTTGGTCTCCTCGTCCATTTCACGATACCTATTGAACTCGCCCGCATAGTCGAATGAGTAGAGGAACGTGTTGTCCGGATTGTGTTTGTTGTTCATATTCAGTGCCAGCAGCACGGGCAGCTTGTGATTCAGAGTACCAGCCACCTGTAGACCATGATTAGAAATCAATGTGGGAGCATTTAGGGGGTGGCTTTATGCTTACATCGATGAGCCTGGGTATCAGGGTGTCGAAAGTTCCATTCTCCAGCAGCTGGCGATTGAAAAAGTCGTGCGTGACGAAGCTGGTGAGCAGCATGGTCTTGTCAGTGCCCACCACCTGGCGGATCACATGGTCGATGTAGTCGTACGTGTCGTACTCATCATCCGGAATCTTTCCCTCGAAGTCGTTGTCCACGATCTCGTTGAGCACTCGAGTGCCGGCGTTTTTGGGGCAGCCGCCCATGGCCGGATAGGAGAAATTAGACTCCAGCATGAGATCGTATGGATGCTTCGGCAGCACGCCACTCGGTCCACCAATGGTGAACTGTATGCCGCCCGTATGGCCAATGCCCAGGTCAGATTTCTCGAGCTGTCGTGGGAAGGGACTCTCATTAATTGGACATTTACCTGGAGTATGCACTGTACTTACCGCATGTTCCATGAAAGCGTTCAGCAACTCCAATGCCGTGAGCTCCATGAGGCAAGTGTTGAGGTCTCTCACTGTCACCATCTTGCAGTCAGCCTTTTTGGCTACCTCCTGGGCGTGCTTGCGAGGATCCTCCTCGAGGAAGATGGGCATAATGGCCGAGCCCGAGTGGTAGATAACCTGGCTAAAGAGACCCCGCTGCACCAACGGCGAGAGGGTGAGCAAATGTGCAATGGCCGCCCCACCTACCTGTCCCGCCACAGTGACACGAGACGCATCGCCGCCAAAATACTTGATGAAATGTTTGACAAACTGCAGAGCAAGAAAGATGTCCAGGAATCCAGCATTTCCGGGTATTTCATCGGTTTTGGTTGACAGGAAGCCGAAGGGGCCCAAGCGGTACTGCGGCGTCACCAGCACCACATCCTTCTCGAGCAGATAGTCTGGCGGCGCCTCGGAGTTGCTGCCCTCGTACAGATACTCCCCGTGTATGTAGACCAGAACGGGCAGCTTTGCAGTCACATTCGGCGTTGTGATGGTCATCGTTAGGCAATCCTCAACATCCAGCACATCGTCCAGCTTGCGCAGCGAGTCCATAGACACCACCGAAGGGCATCCAATCTTTTCTGCTGTGGCATCCATCACATCTTCCCACGGTTCAATCGGTCGCGGTGCCTGTTAATACAAATGCAAAACAAAAAGCCAATGAGAAGGCAGAAAATAGCAGTTTGACGGAGGGAAAACCACATCCTCGATAGTATAGTGGTCAGTATCCCCGCCTGTCACGCGGGAGACCGGGGTTCAATTCCCCGTCGGGGAGATTCTTTTTTTTCTCATTTTTTATTTATTTTTAGAACTCAATTATGTGAGATTTACATATTTTTGAAAGTTTAACCAATCAAGCTGAACATTTGTATTCCAACGATATCAAATTAGCCAAACTTTTCTATCACTTTCTGTTGCTTCCGTTCAGACATTATTTACCTTGAATCGATGCTGACCCGTGGGAGGCTCAGCGTATCTGACGTCGACAAATTGCAGCACCTCCCGCTTGGTCCAGGCAGTATCTAGAATTTTTCCCTGTATGCTGCCCAGCTTTGGTAGCTCAATGATGGTGTCTTTCTCCTCGTCGTAGAGCTTGCCGCGGACGCGTGCCTCCACACCCCAGTGGGCGAACAGGATGATGATGAGGAGCCCGAGTACGAGCTGCATCTTGGATAACTCAAAGTGGCACTAGATACCAAAAAGCCCAACGCTCTCGATGGCACTCAAAACGCAACTGATCTGTGCCGAGCGGTGCCTTATAGATTTTAGCTCGCTCTGACCCGAAGTTTCACCCCACACCTGACCGACATAACCAAAAGAAGATTTCGCGAAACGGAGAGACTAAAACAAAACGCAAAAATTCGAATGACGCCTTGTCCATAGATTTATGCAAATAATAAAGAATGGATTTCGCTGCTCCGGTTTCTGCTGCTCCGGGCCGGGCGCTTTGGTGCAAGTAAAAGGGAAAAGTGACAGACCGACGAACCGAACTTGATTTGTCAGCTGGTCAGTCATTAGTCGCTGAGATTGATTTGCCGGCAAACATTGGGCATTCGTTGAGTTTGTCTTTCTCACGGCAACTAAGAGGCCGACGACGAAGGTGCGGGCCGAGCCGAGTCGAGCCAGGGCAAAAAATTAATTTCTTAAAAGCTGCGGGCCGCTGCCTAATTTAAATTTTAGATTTTGCCAAATTGATTTTCCATATTCTCCTCGCTACTGGAATTCGAGGCCCATCGCGAATTATCAATCAACCCAAGCTGCGGGAGAAAGCAACGACTTTTGCACTTAATGAGTTCATGAACTCTAAATACTTATTCATTTTTAAATATCGTTTTCCTTTGCTAGACCAGGGATGCCCCGCTTCACCAGAAAATTATTTTATATACCCCACTGGTATCGATTCTCTCTCAATTAAGCTATCGAATGCCAACATGAAATTTTATTGAACACGCATAAACAGAACAAACGGACCTGTCACGCTACATGAGAGCTCTGATCATCTTTCTAAGCGAATAGTTATGCATATTTTGTTCGCAGTCAACACTTTCCCATTCTTTCACTATATCTGTATATCTGTAGTCCAAAGTTACGCCGAAGATTTATGTATGTAAATCAAATAAATCAATGTGAGAGAAATATGTTCCGGGGATATGTTATGTGGAAAAATGTTCCGAATACTCTAAAATTTAATTGACTTGAAGGATGATAAAGACTGTGCCATTTTATTTATATTTTGTAATCAACTCACAGAACAAAAGTATACTTTAATTTTTTTTTAAATAAATATAGCCCCAAAATAGACTGCAAACCGTTCAGCCTGAATATTATTTCAACCCCAAAATACATAAAAAAGTGTACACATTCATTTTGTTTATGTTTATTGTTAATAAGTTATTGGAAATGGGAAAATGGTATAAGAATTTGATTTCTGCGGCGTTTGTCGTCTGTTCTCGCACACAGCCTTTTCGCCGATCGCTTGTCCGCTCTCGCTCTCAATTCGCTCTCCTTCGTTTTCTCTTTGGGTTTGCTCATGTGTTTGGAATTCGCAGTGACGCGAATTCGCCCTTGCTCGTTTCGATGTTTTGTATGGGGATCGCAAGGGGCAAATATATAAATATATATATAGGAGTCTGCATATCAGTTGAGCTTGAGCAATTGTTTAACAATTCTTACTGATGTCAAATCATTCCAAGCTTTTGAGTTGTGCGGTTGCAAATCAGAAATAATTACAACTAACAGAATGCCCAAGACCGCGTCGTCTCTGCTCTTGTATATATTGATTGCTTCGCAACTGCAGAAATCTTTGACAAGTGATTCGGTGAGGGGTTATTTTAGATACATTTCTTCATAGTCAACTGGAGCTTCCTTCCTTCAGAGTGCCACATTGTCGACTGAGAGTTCTGAAAGCCAGTGCGGTGGATATTGCTTTACCGCATTGAAGCCTATTCTGGACCACATTGCTGCCAATCAGCAGCGATGGAATGCCTGCGACGCCACCAACCAGCAATGCGAGGCCAAACTAGAAAGGATCGAGAGCCAGCTGGTAGTCCTTCAGGAAAAAGTGTCCGCAATCGAAGCAGTAAAGACTCCTGAGGGAAACCTGGTGGTGATTCCGAAAGCAAAGAAACTGGAGAACTTTGTGCAGATCGGCTCGAGGTTCTTCTACATCGAACAGCATCACAGAGTCAATTGGTTTGCCGCTACGAATATATGCCGCCAGATGGGCGGACATCTCGCGAGTCCGAGCAGCGAGAAAGAGTGGAGTGCCATTAAGGAAAGGCTCACACGTGGCCGAAACTATTGGCTTGGAATTTCTGACTTGGCCACTGAGGGTTTGTACTTGTCGCAGGCCACGGGAAATATGGCATCGTATCTGAGCTGGTCCTCTGGAGAACCCAACAATCACAATAATAAGGAAAATTGCGTAGAACTTCGATCCGATAGTGACTTCCTAATGAATGACATTGAGTGTACATATAAAACGTATTTCATTTGCGAGGCAGCCAATGAGTCATAATAAATATGAAATATAATACAAATTCCCCCATTTTGCGGTTTCCGGCTGCTGATAATTGAGGAAATTATCTTCAGCGGCTGCAGGGTTTCTCCCGCATTTGCTTCAGAATTTAGTGAAATAAATTGGAACCATAACTATAACAGGGATGTGCTGAAAAACACCGCAAAATAAATATTATAAAATGTAATAGTTTCCCATTTGATTTGAATGCCTTTTCTCTGAGTGCAATCACGTTTTGGAAACATTTCAATCGCTGATAATGTGCGAACAGCGAAAATTCGCTGCCTATAAAAGGTTGAGGTGGCATGAGTTCAGCAATTACATTTCGAAATCATTTCGTTGCAATCTTTAGCCCTGTGCTGTTGCACAATTAATTTATTAAAATGATCAAGGTTGTGCCTCTGCTCCTGTGTATGTTGATTGCTGTGTGTCTCCAAGGAAGCTCTTCGAGTGATTCGGTGAGTGGAAATGCTGGACGGCTGGACAGGGTCGAGAGCCAGGTGGCAGTGCTGCAGGCGCAACAAGAGGGTGGCTCGGATAACTTCTGGAATATCGGTTCAAAGTTCTTCTACATTGAGGAGAATCAAAAAGTCAACTGGCACTCCGCATTGAATATATGCCGTGAGTTGGGTGGCCATCTGGCAGATCCGGACAGCCAACAAGAACTGAACTCCATCAAGCAGAGGCTCACACGCGGCCGGCACTATTGGCTGGGCATCTCCGATCTGGCCAACGAGGGCTTGTTCCTCTCCCAGGACACTGGCAAGAGGGCCACTTTCCTCAAGTGGATTTATGGCGAACCAAATAATTATGGCAGCTACGAACATTGCGTGGAACTGAAGTCACAAAAAGATAGACCATTCCTAATGAATGACGCACCCTGTGGTCTCAAGTCATATTTTATTTGCGAGAGAGAATGACAGATTATCTCATGAGAAGGTTTCGTTGCATCCGGAAACCTCTAGTACTTAATGGTAGAATTTATTACTTGCCTGTGATTCCCTGGTATACGAATACAAACTAGTTTTAACGACGGGTAACTTAAGCATTGCCATTATATTTCTGTTACAATTTTTGTCTGCGCGTTGACTTCTTGGCAATGAACACCAGGTTTTGTCCGCGTCCCTCATTGGCAGTCGTCTCGCCATCGTTCTCCTCTGAATCCTCCTGATCGTCCTCGGCATCCGCGTCAGGTGTCAACCTATCCCGCATGGTGGCTGCCAGCAGGGCCGACTCCAGGTCATAGTAATCCTCGTTGACCAGACTGTAGCCCCGCTTGACCTCCTCCACAGCAATGCTGTATTCATCGAGATAATTGTCGCCGTAGCTGATCGTGCGACCCATGCGCATGTAGGGACCAGTTTCGTCGCTCATGGGTGCCCAGGCGGGCACACCAGGGGCCACGGGTACACCCGTCCTGGCGAAGGATGTCCACAGGGCCACCATGCGCTTGGCTACCTTGATGTCGCGGTTGGAGTTGAGCATCTGGAAGCGTGGCCAGGGGAACAGGTAGAGATTGTCGTCGGTCAGCGACACGCCCATGTCGAAGGGCACAAAGGAGGCTTCCTCATCGCTGCTTGCATACCGATTGATCTCGCCCTCGTAGTCGAAGCTGTACAGATAGGTGCTGTTGGGCAGCTTCTTGGCATTGGCCTGGAGCACCAAGAGCACGGGATTCTTCAGAGAAATTGTGCTGCACAGCTACACAATCGGAGATTACTAATACAAGCATTTGGAGACGTTAAACTTTGTTCTACTTACATCGATCAGTCCTGGGGTAAGACGTTTGAAGCTGCCATTCTTGATGTCCTCGGCGCTGAAGATCTCCTCGTCGGCAAACTCGCTCCAGGAGCCGGTGGGATCTGCGCCATTAGCCTGCTCTATAATGGTCTCAATGTACTGCCGTCCAGTCAGCTTGTCATCCAGAATTGTTTCGTTGAAGCTGTCCGTAAATATGTCTGCAAGGAGCAGGATGAGGTCCGTTGCACGATCAAACGAGTGTGGCACTCACCTCTCAGCATGAAGGTGCCGCCATGCTTGACGCTGCCACCCATTGTGGGATATGCCTGGAACTTCTCGGCGGCCAGCAGACGTCCCGGATGCTCCGGCAGTATGCCGGAAGGTCCACCAATGACCAGCTGAACCCCGCCATAGGCGCCGCCGCTCAGCGAGGGCTTGTCCTCGCCATGGATGCTGAAGGCGGCCAACAGCATTGTGGCATTGAGCCGCACTAGGCACTTGTTCAGCGACTCCAGCTTGGCCAGCTGCTTGCAGCCGGCAATGCGAGCAATGTCCTTGGTGGCAGCCAGTGGGGTGTCTGTGATGAAGGCGGGCGACAGTGCCGTGCCCGACTGATAGATGACGCGGTGGAAGAGTCCCGACGGCACAGCCGGACTCAGGGTTAGCACGTTGACAAGTGCAGCGCCGCCCACCTGGCCGAAGAGAGTGACTCGCTGTGGATCGCCGCCGAAGGAGGCAATGTGCTTCTGCACCCACTTAAGGGCCAGAATGATGTCGCTGACGGCCGCATTGCCAGGCATGTCATCGCTCATGGTGGACAAGAAGCCGAAAGGCCCCAGGCGGTAACGCACCGAAACCAGCACCACGTCCTGCTCCAGCAGATAGCCAGGGGCAGCCTCCACGGAGTCGCCATCGTAGAAGAAGTCGCCATGAATGTAGACCATAACTGGCGCAAGATCTCCCTCCATCTGGGAACAGCAGGGGAGAGGCTAAGTGAATGAGGAATTTTGCACTTGTAAAGATTTTCCACCTACCGCCTTGGTGCTGACAGTGAGGCGTAGACAGTCTTCGACATCGAAGCCATCCTCCTCCAGTTTGGCGTACTTCAGCAGATCCTGTATGGACGGGCAACCGGGATGATGACGATGGGCGGGCAGAACACCTCTCCATGATGAGGCTGGTTCCGCTGCCTACGGCAAATCAGAGGCAAGCAATTATATTCGATTGAAAATTTGTGGAATTTGAAGCTGGAATGTGGAGCTGTAACCAAAACGCACCTTGAAGCGCTCTGCCTTTCCGTATGGCACATCGAGGAATTGCATTATTTTCTTGCCAGACCAGTCCGTGCTCAAAGTACGACCGCGAAGTCTGCCCAGAACGGGCACCGAGGCGGTGAACACATTCGAGTCTGGAATATTTTGCTGCTGCTGTGGCTGCTTCTGTTTGTTGGGTCTCTGCTTCTGCCCGGCTGCCTGCTGGTTCTTGTTGGGGCGTCTGTTCTTGTTATTGCCCATTGCGGGCTTGGGCCTCTGCTGCTTCTGCTTTTGCTGGTTTTGTGCCTGACTGCTGGCCACTAGGGCCAAAAGCACTAATGCCAGGAGGATCAGCACACCAACACGTATCCTTGCCATGCCTAGACTTCAGTTTGTGGTTCCGTTGTGGTTGAAGGGAGAAGTAAAACTGCTGGCTGGCTCCACCACTGGCCACGACGAAGACTTTCTCGCCCAACATCGAGTGACACTTGACCGGGCACGAGTTCTAATTTAGAAGATAAAATGGGGTCAAGTCGCAGTCGTTGACAGCACTCTGCCTCCTCTTTTGCTCTTTCGAGAAACTCTCGACCGATCCCAATCCACCTATCAGTCCATAAATATTCATAGAATCACAGCCGTTTGCTGAATTGGTTCTTGAGGAGATTATGCTGCTGTTGAAAGTAAAACAGGGCCCCACGGCGTTTTCTCCCAATCAGTTGGATTCGGCGCCAATGGGAATAACCAAATTATGCCAAACCATTTCTTATCTAGATCTATTAATCATGCGTATGGGTGTGGAGGTGTTGGTGTGGTTATTACATTCGTTAGCTCTTTATTAATAAATTAATAAATTAATAAATTAATATAGTATGTATCGTGATCGTGTAAAATTATATTAAAATGCATTCATCTAGAACTACAAACGCATTAACAATAATTGCATTCAAATGCAGAAACTTCAGTGAGACGCGAACTCTTTCGCGGAGAACATTCTGAGACATTTTGGTTGTGTGTGCAGTAGCATCGGGCAGAATTGCAGAAGATCGGCTATAAATATGGACTTGTACATATGTTTTCTGTTTGTGGGCGCGTATGAAGAGTGAACCACCTGGCCGTGTGCGAGTGTGGGCCGATGCCGATGCCGACTCTGACTCATATTTAGATGTAGTAGAGGCGCACAACCGATTTTGTGATGAGTGTTTCGTTGTCATAGAAACTGGTTTGAATTGTCACATTGCCATTTAAGACTTTTGCTGGCATCATTTGGGACTCGGGTGCCGCCTCGATGGTGGACTGCCAGGTGTTGGTGGTGCTGGCGCCGACGAAGCCCATCTCGAAGAACCACTCCTCCATGATGCGGCCCTTGAAGAGCACCTTCTGGTCGAGCCGAAAGTTCTCCATTGACTCGACGGTGCTGAAGTTGATCTCACGCGACACCGCCCGCATGTCCAGTATTTTGACGGGCACCCGCGCCTCGTGCTCCACGTCCGGTGCCGAAAAGTCCTTGTTCTCTTGCCATATTATCTTGCCGCTGTCCGCGTCACGCAATATCATGTAATTTATCTGGAATCCCTTCTGGATCTTGTCGGCGGCACTCTGGTCGTCGGAACCCATCGCTGTCGCCGGTCACGTCACCGTCGCTGGCAGTCTCAGTCCTGTGCACAACCAAGAGAGCGGAGCGGCCAATTTTTGCAGCTCGCCGACTTCAATATATATTTGGAGCAGAAAATCAATTATGTTTATTTTTAATTCTTGTGCCAGGCGAACAGCTGGTTTATAAAATATTTTCTATGATTAATCGCCTGGAAAAATATCGGTATTTTTGTGCGATAAAGACACTTGAATGCGTTAAATATTTTATTCAATGTTACCTGGTTCACTTGTTTATTTATGGAAATAAATCTGTAGCGAAAATGTTGAATTGTAAAACCCTCCAGATAAAGAGTTTGTAAAGTGAATCTCTCAGACCAATGGCAATATGGTATCGGCTAGAGTTAAAATCGAGTGGGCAGCCCCGTGCCAACCACCTAAACTGTCTGCCAACTATGTACTGCATTGTAAGTGTATTGTAATGTAGCTTTATTGTAGCGAATTGACTCATCAATCGGCTAAAATGATTGTTTTTGCGCTGAGACCCGTAACTCGCTGGTAATATTAAATAGAATATCAAGAAGGAAACTTTGTTGGATTCGGTATATTTCGAAAATTTGATGGTATACTTCGGCATATTTGTGAGGGTCATGCGGTATATTTGATCGATAAATGCGCTGTCACACTGACAAAAACATTAAAAAATTAAACATTTTGCATTATTTACCACATGGCAGGAGAACTTCCCCCGGAATACAGAATGAGATTCCTAGCGGCAAAAGAGTTAGCCAAGGCATTTGCGTACAGCCTCCCAGCGAGTAGGACAGTGTCCCTAAACAGGGACATAAACACGGGCTACGCCAAGGCATTTCGGGAGTTCGGTGATATTCTGGAGAGAATCGAGGTCTTTGAGAGTACAACTTCGCATTGCACCAAAATTAGGTCAGACTTAGACTTCTTTAAGGGGGCTGCTGAGAACAAGCATAGCTTAGACCAGGCAGGCATATTAGTTCTCCATAGGGAAAAAAGGGCATTACTGACAAGGGGAGGCTTCGAGATCTACTACACTGATGGATCAGTAGCTAACAGACACTCTAGCGCAGCTTTCCTACACGACAGCTCAGGTTTCATAGACAGCTTTTACACGCACAAAACCTTGTCATCACTGTCCGCCGAGTTGCTTGCAATTGAAAAGGCCTTGGACCATGCTATTTCCCGCGGGTTTTCTCGTATCGCCATCCTAACGGACAGCAGAAACGGGGCTCTAATACTGGCAAGGAGCATTCAGGATAATTTTATCGCTTATAAAATCAGGGAGAAGATCCGTCAAGCCCAATACCTAAGGAAGGTAGAAATTCATTTTATACCCGGCCACGCCAACATCCCTCAGAACACGGCAGTAGACTCAGCAGCCAAAGAAGCACACAGACTGGGAAAATATACAGTCGTTAAATGGAATCTTAAAGATGCAATATGTGAGATACACCGAATACTGAAAGAAGAATGGGAGAGAGAGTATGCAGAGTTTGCCAGCGTTAAACGCAGAGGATACTGCTCACTTTTTCCCACTACCTCAACAAAACCATGGTTCCTAAATAGAAATAAGCTAAAAGCCATTGACGCTAAAAGGATCAATNAGTTCTCCATAGGGAAAAAAGGGCATTACTGACAAGGGGAGGCTTCGAGACCTACTACACTGATGGATCAGTAGCTAACAGACACTCTAGCGCAGCTTTCCTACACGACAGCTCAGGTTTCATAGACAGCTTTTACACGCACAAAACCTTGTCATCACTGTCCGCCGAGTTGCTTGCAATTGAAAAGGCCTTGGACCATGCTATTTCCCGCGGGTTTTCTCGTATCGCCATCCTAACGGACAGCAGAAACGGGGCTCTAATACTGGCAAGGAGCATTCAGGATAATTTTATCGCTTATAAAATCAGGGAGAAGATCCGTCAAGCCCAATACCTAAGGAAGGTAGAAATTCATTTTATACCCGGCCACGCCAACATCCCTCAGAACACGGCAGTAGACTCAGCAGCCAAAGAAGCACACAGACTGGGAAAATATACAGTCGTTAAATGGAATCTTAAAGATGCAATATGTGAGATACACCGAATACTGAAAGAAGAATGGGAGAGAGAGTATGCAGAGTTTGCCAGCGTTAAACGCAGAGGATACTGCTCACTTTTTCCCACTACCTCAACAAAACCATGGTTCCTAAATAGAAATAATGTAAAAGCCATTGACGCTAAAAGGATCAATAGACTGCTTAGCGGCAGTGCATTTGATAGGCACACACTTGCCAAAATGCACGTAGTCGCAAGTAACATTTGTGATACCTGCGATACTATCGATGACGCATCGCATATAATTTTTAATTGTACCAAGTACAACGCAACAAGACTAAACTACCCATCGCTAAGGAAATATAATAATATCTATAAATTCTTCGAAAAAGAACAAATCAGCTCGTACCAAACTTTAATCGAGTTCATCGACAAAATTGGAGTAAAACTGTAACAAGTTACATATCTCGACGTGGCGATTTCCACCTTGCAAAGGCGGGCGGCCAAATAATCCCCCTCTACCCAAGGGTAGAGCGGTAACATAAATCCTCAAAAAAAAAAAAAAAAAATAAACATTTTGCAACAATTAAGCCATGATTATTTATGGCGTCTACATAGTTAGCAAATCGGGTGGCCTTATATTCAACCTGGACAACCATGTACCCCGCATCGAGCACGAGAAGACGTTCACATATCCCCTGGATCTGGTGCTTGACTACGACTCAAAGAAGGTGTCGGTGGCCTTTAACAGGAAGGATGGAATAAACGGTAGGCGTTCCCTAGGATTATAACTCTCTAGTTAACTCTGCTCATTGGCTTTCCAGTGGGCCATGTCCTGGTGGCCGTGAATGGTATTCACGTAAATGGCATCACAATTGAGGATGGGCGAGACGTGAAATCGACACTGGAGGCCGCAGAGAATTATCCCATAAACCTGAAGTTCAGCCGTCCCAAGATGACCACCAACGAGAAGATCTTCCTGGCCAGCATGTTCTATCCGCTGTTCGCCATCGCCAGCCAACTGAGCCCCGAGCCAAAGAGCTCCGGCATCGAGCTGCTGGAGGCGGACACCTTCACGCTGCACTGCTTCCAAACACTCACCGGCATCAAGTTCATTGTGATCTCAGAGACGGGGCTCAACGGCATCGATCTGCTGCTGCGCAAGGTCTACGAGCTATACTCGGACTATGTCCTCAAGAACCCCTTCTACTCGCTGGAGATGCCCATTCGGTGCGAGCTCTTCGACAACAAGCTGCAGGAGCTTCTCGCGCAGGTGGAAAAGACGGGCATTAGCAATATTGATAAATAAACGTTAACTACATTTTATACTCTGTTATCGGATGTGTTTCTGTGTTGTGTGTTAAAAGGAAGTTAAGCCAGAGAGGAAAAGAAAGAAGCAACCTCCCGGTGTGGCAATACCTTAACTACGAAGGCATTCTGTGGTCGATTGGCTGCATGAATTTCGTTGACTTATCCTTAATCGTGTGCAATCAGATTGGTTGGCAGAACTCTCCCGATTCTCAAAATATGCCAAATGAGTTTTCCAACTATTAAATTTCGAAGTGTGAGGAGTCGGACTAGGCCAGTCTGTAATCCATTGTTATGCCGATTTATTGTAACCGACATGATCGGGAGATCACACAAAAAACAATAAGAATAGTGTTTTTTATAGTTATTTTTGTATACAAGACTCATTCCGCTATAACTTATAATGCAAAAAATAATTAGAATACAATTTTGATTTTGTTTTTTTATTCATTCAGCCATCTTACAGATAATGTTTGTGTATTTTATACATACTCATACAGTACAAATATTTCTTCGCTTAGCTTTATAGTTTACTCGTATTTTACACACATTCAGCGCATATTCTAGACAACACCCTAACCTAAACAATATATTGCATGGCCTGTACGAACTGTACGCTTTTGTGATCGTTGCAGACGCACAAGGATAAAGAAGGTAACGTAACCAAATAACCAACAAATTCAGTACATGCTAGATGTGGGTGTTTACATGTATTAAATGGTGTAAATAATATGTTTTATATCATAGTAATAAAGTTCTTGAGCAAAATATTGACTCCAAAAATAGATTGCAACTGCGTTAAACGTTTACAAATTAAGCAACAATTTCCAAAATACCTACTTAAGAGCTAATCAAAAAAGTATCAAAAAGGTTTCAAGGCATAACAACAATTAAGTAAGCTTTTCATTTCATTTCTGTATAGCACTTGGTGGGGGTTTGGATTGGATTGTACAGCAAGAGGGGGGCCTGTATATGTGGGGGGGTTGGTGGAATAATTCCTATTGCATACTGCCTATTGCACCAGTAGAGTCTTATCGTAATAAGAAGCGAAGCTTAGTATCCCGTTTCCGGTTCCTGCTTCAGCGTCATGCGACAGGGTTCTGCAACGAGCCATGAAAAAACCATCTTAGATACATGATTTAGGTCCAATTTGTGAGTAGACTCACCCATGCCATAGCCAGACGGTGCCGTCAGCAGCTCGGGAGGGCGTATCTTGAGCGGCGTGCGCCGCAACAGCTCCTCGGCGCTGCTGCCCTCGCTCCGATTGTACTCGTTCAGCGTAATGTCAGCAGGATTGCGCAGGCCCAGCCCGTCGACCGGCGACGTGACCGTTCTTTGGTACGGATGCATGCGCTGGGGACTATGGTGTGGCTGCAAGGATGCCGACGTCCGGCTGCCATTGTAGTGCTTGATGGCTGCATCCATATAGGGGCTGTCCTGCTGCTGTTGCTGCTGCTGCTGATGAGACGTGCTCTGCAGCTGATGCTGTTGCTGTTGTTGTTGTGACTTGGGGCTGTTCAAGGGCGGCGAGATGGAAGCCGGAGCGACAGCTGTGGGCGTGGAGGAGGATGAGGCTGCGGCAGCGGCTGCTGCCGTACTGGCGGTATAGGCCCGGAACGAATCATCATTGTTGTTGCCCTGGATAAGGGCCTGTATGTGCTGCACGTCCAGGTCGAGGGCCTGCGAGGCGGCAATGGTCGCCGAAGCCAGCGTGTCCAGCGTGGAGTTTACTTGGCTGCCATCCAAATTGGTGGCGTGGGTGGGGCTCTGATAGTCGTTGGACTGATTGGGTGGCGACAACGGCAGCGGATTGTCCGCCAGTTCTCCTGTGAAAACGAGAAGATAATCCAAATTAGGTTCAGTTTTTGGGTTGATCAGTTAGAACTTACCACCCAGGAGCATCTCCTGCAGCAGGGAATCGATGTGGGCCACGCCAAAGATCTTGGCGAACTGTATCTGCTCGATCATCTGCCAGGTGATGGACTGCAGGACCGGCAAGATGAGCAAAATCTCACCGAAACGACCGCGTGACTCGTACTGCCGATCGGATATGTAGTCCTCGAGATTGTTGAGTATCTGGTGGCGCAGCGACTTGATGCGATGCGGTTCATTCAGGCCCTTGGCATCTGTGAAGGAAGAGTAGAGGGTAGGGAGTGGATGGTTACCCAACACAAATCCAAAGAGAACTCTCAACAACTCACTTGGATCGAAGAAGACCAGCGCCTTGATGCAGGCGAATTCCGTGTCGTCGATGCCAATGTCCCGCATTACTGTCACCAGTTCGTCGATGATGCGGGCGCCAATCCGCGATATGTCCAAATTGGGCGACACTCCAGCATCTGCAAAGCATAGAGAGAGGGGGGTAAGTAATGGATGGAATGCAAGCAGGAGTGTGTGGGAAGTAAGTACCTGGACAGTGCCTGGTGATGACACAGTTGTTGCTCAGCAACAGGACGTCCTTCAGGTGCATCGATCGCCGTGAGAGACCCAGGAGCAGATGCTCACCGGCATGTGCGCGCAGTAGGGCCACCTGATCGTCCAGCTGCAGCTCATTGAAGGCTGGTATCTGCTTGGCCCACTCCACGAGGGTGAGCAGCTGTTGCTTCATCGACTCGCAGACATCGTTGATGCTGGCAAACTGCTTGGTCGAGAGATCCTCATTGATGTTCGGCTCCATGGCGGCGCCCGCCTTCGACTGCCGTGACTCGTTCTCTGCCTTTACCAGCGAAATCACAGAGAGCCCATTGCCCGGGTCCGGGTCATCGTTGGAGGTGCGACGGCAGCTGATCCTATCCCGCTCGTTTTGCACCGCCTCCTTCTTCATGCCCGCCTTGAAGCACTTCCTCAGGCGGCAGTACCGGCACTGGTTCCTCTTGTCCTTGTCCACCACACAGTTCCTCGAGAACCTGCATGTGTACTGGTGGTTCTTGCGCACGCTCCGCCTGAAGAATCCCTTGCAGCCGTCGCAGCTGGAGGCCCCATAGTGCTTGCCCGTCGCTCGATCTCCGCAGATGGCACACACCGTAGGGGATTGCGCTTGCTGCTGCTGCCCCTGGAGCTGTTGCTGCTGACTGGTGGCGCCACCGATTCCAGCTCCACCGCTGCTGCTGCCGCCCCCGCTGTGGTTGTTGTTGGGCGAGTACACGTTGTTGTTGTTGCTGGGGGTACCGCTTCCGACGCCATTCCCGTTTCCGCTTCCATTGCAGAGCGCAAAGTTCTCGCTGCTCTGGTTGCTGCTGTTGCTCAGGCCCAGCCCGACGCCATTGGGACTGAGGGCGTGGCCGATGGGACTGTGGGGCTGCGATGCCGGTGGATAGCCAGAGGCCAGGGCATCCGCGTGCATAATATGGCTTTCCGATTCTGTGAAATGATCAAGGCAGCAGAAAGTTAGTACTAAGTTTTGGATGCTTGGGATCATTTTATATTTAATTCTGGCAGTATGCTTTAAACTTCGCTTGATCAGCTTTCAGAGCTACTGAGCTGGTCCCACTCATTTACATAGTTCTCTTAAAACCTTTTACAGATTTACAGTTACTGACTTGAGCTTCGAAGGGTAAGCGCCGCAGACGCTAAGGCTTGGCATCCATTCTCATAAATTTACAGAAATATGCATCAGTGCTTTCAAAGCCTATTACGGTTGCTAATTAAGTGCTGATTAAATGTCACCATCAGCTGTATTTTAATACAGTTTCAGATCCATACTAGCTGTTTGAATATTTAGTTTGGACACATTGAAGTGATCCTTACTCTTTGTACGTAAAAGTTTTAGAATCACTTTTCCCTTCTTCCTACGCAAATTCCTCTACACAGTTTTTGATTCGTTGGATTTCCAGTTTCTTTCCATACAATAAGCAATAATAATTATACATTTACACATATACACATGAACATGTTCACTTGTCTGTGAGGTGTGTGTGTCTATCATAGTTAAAAATTGCAAAAAAATAAATCGCGCAATAGCAACAAACAAAAACAATTAAAATTCCAACAAAAACACACCATCACTTGAGGCCGTATGGCTGGCGCTGCTGTCGCGTCTGCGTCGACGTCTTCTGGTCAACGACGCTGCAGCTGGCACCGCCACTGCTGCGCTCTCCCCCGACTTGCCACGCAACAGAATGTTGCCACCGCTGGGGGCAGCGCGATCGCGACTAGAAATTTTAACTCTACCGGACTTGCGCACCATTTTAGTGCAACTGATTAGTGGAAAACACGACGACAAAAGCGCTGCGCTCGATCCCCATCGCAAAGCCCCAACGCCGCACACGCCATCGTCGTCGTCACACCATCGTATGTTGTCTCTGCTCCTCAGAGAGCGGCTCAAACAGAGACAGAGAGACAAAGAGAGAGAGTCTGAATGTGTGTGCGTTAATCGACGCCTAAATCAATTCAACTGTGTTTGCATATCGTTTCATTATGCAGGTCTTCCCTCTCTTTGGATACCCTTGCAGACACTACTTACACAAAACGTGTATAACGAACGGGAAGCACTCCGTAAGACCTAGATAACAGTTATGTATGTTTTTAATAAAGTTGAAAACTCCCACATCGAAGTAATATAACTACAGCACAATAACACTATTGCTGACATATTTAGCTACCATGTAATGATCTGCAAGGGTATCAGTTCTATCGGCCACCGTGGATAGCATGTCTTATTTTCTCTCTTACGCGGACCGGAGAGAGAGATTCAGACTTGGCGCACACGCGAGCGGCAGAGACAAGGCAGAGAGACAAGATAGAAATTCAGCAGCAAACGAGACAGACAGAGACAGAGACAGTGGCAGAGGCAGCAAATAAACAAATAAATAAATAAAGAGAAAAAAGCCGGCTTTAATTTGGACATCGTTATGGTTGGTGAGTGCGTGTGTAGAAAACACAACAGAATAAAAATGTATAGAAAAATACAAGCACCTAAGTAAAGGTACCCTTTCCAATCGACTACTCTCACGACAACTATATACATTTGTATGTATGTACATATGTATATGATAACTTTATTATATTTTTGACACGTATTTAGCTTTTTTCAGCTTAAGTAAGACTTTTTACAAAAACAGATGATATTTTATAAAAGTGGCAAACACCTGCTTTGAACGATGATACTCTCTGCAGGGAGCTTCGAAATAGACAGAAAGATTGAGCGCGAGAGAGCGACACGAAAAACGAGAAATACACGACACGAGCAAGCCGAATAACAACAAGTAGAAGAAGAAGAAAAAGGGGAGAGGCGGTAAATAGTTGCTTTAATAAAAAACAATCAAAATTCTGTATTATTTTAATGCACGCAACAAGTTTGTGTACAGTGGCCGACAAGCGCAAGATTTTACTCAAAATATTTTGGCCTTACTAAATTGATGGATAAATATTTACTGTTTCAATACACTTTTCGCAAATTAGCACTTCTGTTTAAAGATTCCCCAGACGGTTAATTGGTTGAACCGATCACCCACCACGCCCACCCGTCACGCTCACACCGTCACCCCTAGAATCTTTGCAAAATCAATCATATGCTCAGAATCAATCCGTAGTGTAGTGGCGTTCCCTCGAGGCCCACAACAGAAATAAGAGCGGACACATTCGGGTAAGAGAAGTTTAAGTAAAAACCTAAAAACCAACAAGCCCCCAGAGGAACCATTCTTATCACCTGGTTGGTCTTTTTATCACAAAAATACCAGTTCTGAAAACTGCAAAAAGACAAAAACAAAAATATGCTCGTCCTATCTTTTCGCACATAAAACTTTCTCGCCATTTCTCACACTCTTTAGCTGGCCTCTCTCCCTAGTCTCTCTCTAGTAAAACAGGCCCCGGTGTAAGTTTTTTTCTGCCATGTCACCGTTAGAGCTCAGTTTTTTCATAGAGTTGCTGCGTCATCGTTAGTATTGCAAAAATGTTGTTGTTGCCTCTGCTGCTGCTGGCGATGTTTATACTTGAGTGGGGGCATCGCCGCAATCATAATCTCAGATTAGAAAATATCGGATTCTGAATGGTTTTGAAGGATTCATTCGATCACTCACACTGCCTGCTGCCACAAATAGTGTGGTTTATGGTCGTTCATAAAACGAAAGAAGCAAAATACATATACATATGTATATACATATTTATTTACACATGTCTATGTGTTATTCGATTTCCAAGTACTCGTGTTTCTGCGCTGATAAGAGGCAACAACGTTTATGGATGAATGCATTATCGTTAAGCACCTGGGTTCTCAAATGAATCAAAAACAAAAAGAAAACTGATCTACATATTCATACCAGTGGTGTATTTTTATAGTATTTCTACTTATTTGAGCGTGTTGGCTATTAAACTCAATTTGCTTAATTAATTTGCCCAACACATGCGGACGACGAGCCCCCAAAGCCCCCCAAATAAAGTATAAATAAATAAATCGAGAGAGCGGATCCGGAATAAAAGAGAATACCGAATACTTCACGCTTCCATGTTAAATTTCATATTTATGGATTTACTCGTACATATTTTTCTGTAGAAGTACAAGCCTCTGTATACCCTCATGTTTTTCGTTGAAGTTTATTCATTATCTCAGAAGAAGTAATCTTTGAAAGAAAATGATGTGTCCCACAGAGCTATACACTTTTGAACTGCTCCTAAGATAACAAAACTTTAGCCGCCTCAACTTATTCTTATCATTAATAGATCAAACTTAAAATAAAAGATTGATTTTTCTAGAATGCGGACTAGATTATTTGTTGTATGCCTTTTAAGGGAAATGCTAAAATTATAATACCCTTAGCTGGAGAGAAGAATAACATATTCAAGCATGTGTAACTAATTTATGTATATTCTAGATACCCGCACATATTGACATACACACCTAAATGTGTATCCAAATATTATTTTTTAGTCGCCCATGGGTTGGGCGGTGGAAACTTTGGTCGAACTACGCAAAATTTGTGTTTATTTATAGCTGAAATTGTTTTTGTTCGCTCAAAATAAGTTTTGTTTTGTGGAAACATGTGTATATTATTTCGGATGGAAATAAAATGCGAGCAAAATTGGAAACAAAAAGCAAAGAGAGAATTTGTTGATCGGTGGTCAATGAATTCATTTACATTCAAAATTATCCGAGTATTTATTTGCAGCTTAGTACCATATCAGACGAACAGATATGCAGGAACACGTGTAGTTTGTTTGTCAGCAAATTAGTCACCCGAACACTGGACAAATTTAATTGATAAGAGCACATGGAATGTTTCCATTATGATGCGATATGAATTTGACAAAGAACAAAGCAACTTCTTCTACTGCTTCTACACTGCTTACAAGAAGCAATAAGGAAGCAATTCTTATCCATATGTAATGATATTTGGTAGATCGTTTGATAATCGTTTGATAATCGATGATCGTTTGTTTTCACTGTACAGCTGTGTGGTACATATATTTATAGATGATCGTTAAGACCCAGACGGATCTGTTGAACTTGATCCGAAATATATATTATATATTTATTATGAGGTCGTAATAAATATAGTATGAATACTCTTAATCGTTCGCTGATCTGTTAGGTTTTGGGGTCGAGCTTTTAAGTGATTGAATGACTAAAGTAGGTAAACGATTGATTAAGGAAGTCGCACACAGAATCTGGAAAATCTTGAAAATTGTAATGCAAATTGAATGTCTATGATCGAAGACAGAGAGAGACAGAACAGCAGCAGTTTAACAAAGACCTTAATTATTATTTGATTCATAAAATATTGTGAAACGACTGGCATTAGCCACGTACTACTACATTGTGTGTACTCTTGAATGCGCCTCTTATCCCCAACTCCCCCTCTACGCACACCACAAACGAATTTTATAAGCTCTTATCGGCGGCAGAGCTTCAATAACGTGCCTAACGGCACACCGAAGCTCCCGCTTCCCTCCCCAATGCTGATAGCAGCGGCAAAAAGCTCAATTTTAAATCGAAGAAAAAAAAAACCAAACATTCGAAATCGAAACCGACATGCGACAATCGCAATTAGCGAAAGAACGAAGCAAAGAGAAGAAACCAAAGAAGAGGAGGAGTAGTAGTAGTAGTAAATGGAGAAAAGTGAGTCAGTCCAAGCGATATCAGGCATTGGTATTATTCATATAGTCGTAAACTCACAAAGGGGGTAATATTATCAAAAGAAACATAGACAATTTCAATCTAAATCGAATGACTTTAGCAATTTCGGAGTAGGTGACTACTTATAGAGACAATTCAGAAAACATTTTACATTCGAAAAACTAAGGATTAGGACCGCAAAGAAAAACTATAAATGATATAAAATAATTAATCGAGGGTAACACGCAGTCTTAATTGTAGATCTAGTTGCTGTGCAGCTGTTTGCTTAAATATAAATTGCATGTCAGAG